ATGTTACCCACGTTCTCCCACAAATGAACTCCAAGACATGGTATGTATGAAGCCAAATGGAGGATGATTTTTTAAGTGGAAATTGTACAGACGTACGGAGTACAGACATTCCAAACATGCATACATCGTGCTGCACTGTCGCAATCGCGTTAGAACCGTTGTATTCCTCATTCACAGTACTTATATGTAGCTGCAGCATGTCTATAATTGCGTCTAATGCTTATACTGTTGTGCAAGGCTTTGGATGAATGGCTCTCTCAATGCCCCTTATTGTCACTCGAATGTATGCCAACCCCTTTTATTCAGGGGCTAGCCCGATCACGTAAGATTTTCGTCTCACCGCCTCACTCCACAACTTTTTTTCTGCCGGCAATATCGCAAAGCAACGAGTTGCGCGACTGAAGCAAGCAAGAGAACCGCTGTGAAGGGCTTTTGGTTTTAATAAAGGGGTTGCATCAGAATGGCACCCCCGAAGGAGCGCCAAATAAGTCTAGACGGAGATAACGAACGGGAAACGAGCAGTTTACGTTCTCCCAGCGTCTCGGGAGACGAGGATGACGACGGTGTTGAAATTTCAGAACGACCGCCGAAGCGACGTCGCTTATCAGACTCCGAAACCTCGGGCGATGATTCTTTCACACCTGCACGCCCTCTTCCGGCCCTATCCCGCATAAAGAGACGTACCGACGTGGCCGGTGCTAAACAAGAAAAGCCCAACTTGAAGCCATTGGACCCCGTTACTGCGAAAGATGCGTTCGATCTGGGTCTTCAATCCGCCGATTCCTCCTTCACTTCACTAGGCCTTGCGCCTTGGCTAGTTGGCTCACTCTCCGCAATGGCGATTAGGCGACCTACGGCGATTCAGAAAGCGTGCATTCCGGAGATCCTGAAGGGGAGGGACTGTATTGGTGGAAGTCGAACGGGTTCCGGGAAGACGGTAGCGTTTGCTGCGCCGATACTGCATCGATGGAGTGAAGATCCGTTTGGTATATTTGCGGTTGTGCTTACGCCTACGAGGTATGTGGCTTGAGCTGCTCCATACCCCTTTCTGGGGGGATGTTTTTGATGTACTAGAAGCTGACTGAAACCATATAGAGAGCTGGCACTCCAGATTTTTGAGCAGTTTAAAGCTATTTCTGCGCCGCAGTCGCTTAAGCCCGTGCTGATTACTGGAGGCAGCGAAATGCGTCCCCAAGCCATTGCGCTCTCAACGAGACCTCATGTCGTGATCGCGACGCCAGGTCGCCTTGCAGACCACATAAAAACGTCTGGAGAGGACACGATATTTGGGCTTAGCCGCGTACGAATGGTCGTCTTTGACGAGGCGGATCGACTATTAGCCAGCGGTCCAGGAAGCATGGTTCCCGACGTGGAAACTTGCCTTTCAGCACTCCCACCATCAACGTCGCGCCAAACCCTACTCTTCACAGCCACCCTTACCCCAGAGGTCCGCGCTCTGAAATCTATGCCACGGCCAAAAGATCGGCCGCCGGTTTTCATTACCGAAATCTCAACCGAAAACAACGCTACTATTCCACCGACCCTAAAGCAATGCTATCTCCAAGTACCCATGACTCACCGCGAGGCATTCCTCCACGTTCTCTTATCCACGGAGGAAAACGGCTCGAAACCGGCTATTATTTTTTGCAACCGAACGAAAACTGCAGACCTGCTAGACCGCTTATTACGCCGTCTAGGTCACCGGGTGACCTCCCTACATAGCTTACTACCCCAATCGGAGCGCACTTCTAATCTTGCCCGGTTTCGTGCCTCAGCGGCAAGGCTTCTTGTTGCCACCGATGTGGCCGCTCGTGGCTTAGACATCCCATCCGTTAGCCTAGTGGTCAATTTTGATGTTCCCCGCAATCCTGATGATTATATTCATCGAGTTGGTCGAACGGCTCGTGCAGGGCGAGAAGGTGAAGCAGTCACGCTGGTCGGCCAACGAGATGTACAGCTAGTTCTGGCTATTGAGGCAAGGGTTGGGAGGCAAATGGTCGTTTGGGAAGAAGAAGGCGTGAGTATTGAAGGAAGGATAGTGAGAGGGAACGTTCTAAAGGAGGTTGGTGGAGCGAAGCGGGAAGCCGTTGGAGAGATTGAAGAAGGAAGAGATGTACTTGGTCGTAGGATGAGGAAGCTGAAAAAGGCTCGCTGATGTGTGCGTGATCCTTGAAAAATGGATTTGAACATTGAAAAGAGAAAAAGGGTTTGGTTGCCCAAACACTGTTTATTTGGTTCTATCCCATATATTCACTACTGTTGCCACTTCTCTATTTCCTTTTGATATTATGGTCTCTTGCGGGAACCATACATCTTTCTCACTTCTCCTTATTAACCTCTTCATCCTCTATTCCCACCCCTTTTCCTTTGCAGGCGCCTTCGCCGTCCCCGTCTACCCATCGCCAGCGATGGGCCGCCCTGCAAGGAAGCCCTTCCAGGAAGGTAGCCGTGTGCCAGCACGACTACACTCAAGGACCAAGTCCTTGTATTCCATCCACTCGGTTTTCCCGATCCATTCGCCCCTCTCGAGGACCCAAAGGTACCGGCGACCGTCGTTTTTCGGACTGGTCGGGTTACCAACCGCCTCGTAGCGGTGGTATATTTTTCGGCTGCAAAACAACATTATCAGTTTTTAAACCGTTGAAAGAGCAGCATTTGAACTAGAACCATACCTCTTTGACCCTAGCCATCCCAGCTGCTTTCGCCAATAGGCCTTATCTTTTCCTCTATCGGGGTAGTTCCCGCCCAGCAGGACTCTGCACCCGACTATCCACCAGACATGTTAGCCTTGGGTGTGCTTTTGCAATCTCTGTTTGTTTACAAAAAGCCCTGATATATTTAAAAGGGAAGATAGACTTACCAGTCCACTGTCCAGCAGGGAACCCTTCATTCTCCACTTCCCCTTCACTCTCCAGGAGTGAAGCCTTTACCACCTTTCCTTTCCCCCTTCCTCGACTTGCACCTCTACCCCTGGTGCTACCGCCTCTGCCTTCACGGGCGGTGGGATACGTCGCCCGGTTGGGGGCCATTCTAAATAATAATATATTATTAAATGGAATGGCTGGGTCCCTCGTAGACAAACGGCAAGGATTTCACTCGTAAACGAGTGTGAAAGGAACGCTTTTTATGAACTATAAGCGCTTTGAAAGAGGAAGGTGGTAATGATGATGATGATGATGATGAGGAGGAGGAGGAGGAGGAGGAGAGAAGAAAGACATTTATATCTGTAATAATGGCTGAAAAAGATGCAGTCTATGTGAATCCTGCTCCTTTATTCAACAGCACTCACAATGGTCCAGCATTGATGAAAGTATATTGGCCCTGGCTATTGAATGTGTTTTGACCTAAATAACGTATTATTCATTGTCACGGCGGGAGTTGCCACGGATAATCAGACAGGAGTGATAGACACATGCTCTTCTCAATTGAATATGAATGCCATATTGAAAGTGGGAGGTTCCGTTCCTTTTCAATTTTCATATCACTGTATTATGAGCACAGTGCTGTTGAATGGTCACATATAAACTCACAAAAGAAGATTCTCTGAGTAAACTTTGAATTTGTTGAAACCTTTGTTAACGTCTTTTTTGATATGGAGGAGAAAATACAAGTGAGCCCATTCAGTATATCAAAGGGAAAGCAACCAGACATCGTTCCATGGGGGTTTCAATTCAATATGGATTCGAAGCTAGGACACTATTGTATTCAGAAAGTCACGTTGAGAAAGCTAAGCATCCCATCAATTTCTAAAGTCCATCACCCGACGTCAGGCTTAGAAAGGGGATACTGACCAGCTACGTGCGTCTAACATTACCGGCATAATGCTGGTTCGAGACACCAAAATCATTAAGCCCGATGCGAACGTAGGTCGGTTGAGCTCCACGGCCCTTGCGAGCCACGACACCTTTCACAGTCTTGGTAACCACCTGAGTAGGCTCCTCAACCTTATCATTGGACCCTTTCGTGTGTTCACCGCTCTTCCTCCGTCTTGCCTTTTGGCCTTTTTTGTTTGCCAACTCGGCGTCCTGGATCGCTTGTCTTCTTTGCTCCGTGTAATCATAAATATCATTGTCGTACTCGACGCACTCCAATTTGAACTCCTTGTACAAATCCCACCGGCGCAAACGACGTTCGAACACGGCGTCTCCGATGCTACGGATTACGATCTGACGTGGCAAAGAGTCCTTTGGAAAGTTTGCGTAAATGACCCTGACGTCTTGTACGGGGATTTGGCTTTTAGACATCTTGTCCATGCGATTGACCATGTCATTCTTAATCCGCGGGATATCGAGAAGAGTCGCGGCTTCGTGGAGTCTGGCGTATTGTGCGAATCCAAGGCGCTCGATTCGTTGGATACTTTGGTTTTTGCAGGAGGCCAGCATCCACTGACAAATTAAAATGTAAGCTGCCTTGACGCCGCCGTAAATGGTAACATAGGTTGCTCCGTCGCAGCCTTTGCGGTTGACATTTTGCTTGTCTGTCGGCGGTAGGCAATCCTCCAGATAAGGAGAAAAGTGAGTCAGAACTGCTTTCGGCATGGCGTTGCAAATGACGGTTGGTGGTTCATCCTCAAATGTTGCATGGTAGATTTTAACAGTAGGTCCTTTCAGGAGGCTGCAGGCACCTGTCAACAAGTTACGGCAGCGTTAGAAGCATTGTAATACTTACAGTGCAAGCTGTGAAGGGGGGATTGTAGCTTTTCTGCTAAGCATGATGGTCGTGTTCGATTGGTTTTGGAACTTGAGGATGTCCAGTTGGCTTCTAAAGGAACATGCAATGTCACAGTCTCAGTGCCAAAGAGTAGAGCAGAGGATTTATCCCTAGAACGCATTCAAGAAAGAGGGGAAAGTAAGAGAAATAAAGCAGCTTATATGCCGAGATATTTTAAAGTTACTGAGAGGTCCCAGATTGGTGCCGGACACTTAATGAAAAGAGGCCAGAGGGGAGTTTCCATGCCTTGTGTCTTGTAGATGTTTGAGTGAGTCAGGAAGACGGCGTCTATCTTCAATGATGATTGTTCACATATCGCTCGTGAAGCCAAAGGGTTTTATCACGATCAACCGTGAAGCAAAGATAAGGGATGTTTGTTAAGGAACAAACATTCACGTAGCAAAACTAGGCATCACAGCAAAGAGGAGTCATCATCACTATTATGATCATGGCATTACCCTCTTTGATAAAAAAAAGTGGCGGAATAAATGAAATATATTGGGGAATAGAGGCACAAGGCCTTTAGATAACTTGAGGTGTGTATTGCCAGACTATTTGGAAACCAAGCAGCCATAAGTCCAGTAATATAGTCAGGCTTTCAGTGCGGTGCCGGGTATTAGAGACGATCCCATTGCTCTCAGCTTATGAACGATAGTGGTTGTGAAGTTGTTAGGATTCTCAGGACACCACCTGCTGGGGGAGGAAGCATCACGTGCATCGCCACACAACAAACATCAGGCATAGAATCAACAACAAAAGATATTGAAGTATTCATTTTCTGGCCACTCTAGACTGATCGCTGAGTAGTTATACCACATGTCCAGTTCACCATGCCAGGAGATGTATGTTCCACGATTGGCCTTCACCCAGCATCTCCCTAGCCAGTCCATTCGTCCAGCCCATCGTACTCCGTAGTAGTTTCCATCAACTTCAAAAGACCATCCACCGCTTCTCCTCGCTTAACCGTAGCCATCATTTTTTCGACTGAGCAGTTGATATTTTGGTCGACGATCGGAGTGCCGTGAGAACGGTTACCAGGAGTTGGTAGTTGGATCGGAGAGAGCAACCCACTTGGCTGACGACTGAAAGTCGCATTACTCTGTTTGGGAGTCTCATCATTATCGGTAATTCCGCTCGTGTTTGACACCGGGGGAGAAGATGGCATTGTAATTGCATGGCCTCGCTCGAGGAGTGATGGCGACGGGTCGAGTCTAGGAACCTTTCGCTTGGGGGTGTTTTTATACATCGAAGAAACATCCGCGTTCTTGTTAATGTGCTCGATGGTGTCTCCCCATTGTCTTTTCTGCTCCTCGTAACGAGCCTCGAATTCTGCGAGACGAGAATCGAGATTTTGTTTGCGGTCCATAACTTTCATAGCAGCTTGTATTCGGGCTCGAAGCAAGTTCGCTTTCTGGTATGGGTCAGTGATATTTATCACACCATTTTTGGATGGGGGAGGCCTTGCTTACTTGCTCAATAAATAATTGTCGTTGTTCTGGATCTGTCGGGACTGCAGACCCGAATGTGGTTGACTTGTTTATGTTCTTTCGAGGCTTTGCGACTCGTGTTCTGGGGAGGTTGTTCTCAGAAGCTTGGCTCAAATTGAAAAGTGATGACATGGCACTATTCTCTGGAGATTCTTGTTTGTGTTCGTCATGATGGGTCTCGGCGACCGCCGCTGACTGTTGCGGGGAGGATGCCTCGATTGACGGGTAAGCATTGTTGTCTCGTCTTGGGATGTGTTCGTAGTCTAGACATACCTCTTTTCCATTGTTGTCCACCTTTGTTTGCGAAGGCTCTTCGTAGATACGGAATCTCCCCTCTCGCCCTGGCCGACTGAAGGAGCCATTGGCTGAGCGACTCATGCCATGGTCCGCGTCGACTTGATCAATTGTGCGTTTCTGACCAGCGACGGCAGGTCGCGACATAATAGCGACACTGGGATCAATGGGCGATATTCCGAGCTTCTCTGTGGTGCTAGGAGGTGCGGGAGGGAGGGCGATGTTGTTGGATTTTTCGAGGAGAGCCGGTCGGGCAATATTGATTGATGAGGGAGCAGACATTTTGCCTGATGGTAAACAAGTGTGATTCACGAGAGAGCAAGTCTAGTTCCAGTATCTGGGTGAATGGGTATCACAATGAACAGTGAAGCACCTGGGACGCCTGGGCCGCCGTCAACACAACCTTTAGAACCAGAAAGATCTATTCTAGCAATTGAATTATTCATTCAGATCTCAAAAAGAAATTGCATTCACAATTCAGGAAAACCAGTCCTTGCCAGCTCAGACCACAGTAAGCAATAAAAGGTGCCATTGAAGGGAGAGTAGGTTCGCCAACTGCCGTCGCGTGCCTCCACTCGGCGGGACATCGCGTCGAGATCAACAATCGCAAATGATATCACGATCCACGCCAAGGTTCACGACCGCGTTTCTCGGCGCGTCGGGGAATAGATAGTCCGCATTCCGCAGCATCGGATTATTATTACGCCGTCCCACGCCGGATGCTGGAATATTGATTCTCCGGGACCAAACCCGAGTCAATTGCCCCTCCAAAGAGTCGCGATGGTTAGCAATAAATTTCATTCCACCAACTTCAAGCATTGAAACATAGTCTTTACCTTGTCGTACTATCCTGAACATATATCCAATTGCTCACGTCGTCCGTAGGAACCACGGTATGGACGTCCCACAACAGACTCTCTGACATCTCACCAGAACAGCCCCGTGATGCAAATCCGTATATAACTTAACGACTGACTTTGGCATGTAGATGGTGCTTTTTACCGTCGCCTCAAAGGCGAATGCAGCATATATCCTCCCCGTCGTCACTGCTGCGGCGTATGTCCAGGTCTCTACCCCTGATGCTGGACTAAGCATTACTTTTGAAGATGAAGAATCTGTTGGAGCCAAGAAGGGGAAATTGGAATTAAAGCTTCCAGATGGGAAATTGGTGTACGATGATGATATTATACCATACTTACGGGAGAACTATCCAGCTTTGCAAATCGGAAATAAGGAGCAGGTATGTCAGACCTCAGCCGCTAATGGCGACGACGCCGCCTTTGGGCCCCCAGCGCAGCACTGACGTGTGGATACATGTCGACTACAGGTTGAGGAATGGATTAACAGATCTGCTGAGCTTCAAAGTCCTGACTTCAAGGTCTTGGACAAGCCGTTGAAAGAGCTCGACTCGCATCTGACGTTGCGCTCCTATATTGTAGGCTACTCGCTCACGCTTGCGGACATTGTGATTTGGGGAGCTCTTCGTGGGAACAAGGTTGCCATTCCTAATATTAAGAGAAATGCCAAAAATATTGCCAGATGGAGTAGCTTCATTGAAGCATCCTACCCATGGGTAAGCAATGGGCCAGCAGAACTACAGGCCAGTGCACAAAAGAAGAGAGCTGCAGCAAGTGCCGCAGGCGCCAGCTACAACATTGGCCTCCCAAACACCGAGAATGGAGTGGTTACTCGTTTTCCTCCCGAGCCTTCTGGGTATCTCCATATTGGGCACGCGAAAGCTGCTTTGCTCAATGACTATTTTGCTCACGAGCAGTACAAAGGAACTTTGATTTGTCGCTTTGATGACACCAATCCAACCAAGGAAAACCAGGAGTTTGAAGATGCCATTAAACATGACCTAAGCCTGCTCGGCATCACACCAGACAAAATATCGTTCTCAAGTGATTACTTCCAGGAAATGTACGAATATTGCATACAGATCATCAAAGATGGAAAGGCATATGCGGATGACACGGAGAAGGAACAGATGCAACATGAGCGACGTGAGGGAATCGCAAGTAAAAACCGCGACGCAACTGTTGAACAGAATCTGGCTCGATTTGAGGAGATGAAGCTTGCTTCACCGGAAGGACTGAGATGGTGCATTCGCGCTAAAATTTCAGTTGATGACAACAATAAAGCATTGAGAGATCCAGTAATCTACCGCTGCAATCTTCAACCACATCACCGGACTGGTTCCACGTGGAAGATCTACCCAACGTACGATTTCTGCGTCCCCATTCTGGATTCCTTGGAAGGTGTCACGCACGCCTTGCGTACCACCGAGTATGGAGATCGTAATGCGCAATATGCTTGGATGCAGGAAACACTCGGTCTGCGCAAAGTGTATATCTGGGATTTCTCGCGTCTCAACTTTATTCGTTCCGTCTTGTCTAAGCGCAAACTCACCCAGATCATCGATCAGGGCGTAGTGTGGGGCTGGGACGACCCTCGCATGCCTACTATCAGAGGAATTCGCCGGCGTGGAATGACGGTCCCAGCTTTACGTGAATATATCCTCAAGCAAGGCCCTAGCAAGAATGTCGTCAATCAAGACTGGACCAAGTTTTGGGCGACCAACAAGAAATATATCGACCCCGTGGCTCCACGACATACTGCAGTCGAGAAGGAGGACATGGTTGAGGCGAGGGTTCAAGGGGCCGATGGCGTTACATATGCTGAAAAGCCTAGACATGGGAAGAACCCTGAAGTTGGGTTGAAGAAGGTGGTCTATAGCAATACCATCCTCCTTGACCAGGCCGATGCCAAGAGCTTTAAAGAGGGTGAAGAGATCACTCTGATGAACTGGGGAAATGCCTATGTTCGCAAGATCCATGCTGAGCCAACCAGCGGAAAGATCACCGGTCTAGACCTCCAGCTCCATCTCGCAGGAGACGTGAAAAAGACAGAGAAGAAGGTCACATGGTTGTCAAAGGACCAAGAGCTTGTGCCAGTAACCCTATATGAGTTCGACTATCTCATTACCAAGGACAAAATGGAAAAGGATGACGATATCAACCTGATTCTGAATCCAACGACCGAAGTGAAGACTGAAGCGTTGGGTGACTGCAACGTTGCCCATCTCTCCGAGGGAGAAATCATTCAATTCGAGAGGAAGGGATATTTCAGGGTTGATCGCCCTTATAAGGAAGGTCAGCCGGCTGTTCTGTTCAATATTCCAACTGGTAAATCTGGGTGAGGCCCAGGAGGCGCGTGTAATGTGATGCTAGTTGTCTAGACTCTTCCAAAGCATTGGGCCTGTGTAACTATGCAATGGTTCTTTGAACGTGCAACCAGCTGGTTATTTGTCTTTGACAAGTAATAGCTAGACACTAGGTTCTCAATCAAGATGAGACATGTTTACTTGCACATTCTATTAGATCCGGTTTGCTTCCACACCCGCATGTATTGAGCAAATGGACAGTATTTCTGGAATACAGGTAGCTTTCCAGCTTTCCCAGAAATCCAAACTGACCATCACGAGACCAGCACAATTGCCCACAGAAACCGCATATCATGCATGAACGGAGCATGGTCCTGCTGCCTGCTGGCGCCCTGGGCTCGGGGGATCATCTCCCATATGTTCCTGCAACCATCCCATGGGCCGCCGTCAAATGCATGGCGCATGCGGAGTTGCAATCCGAACGGGGGTCGAGCCATCGGTTGGAAACCCGCCCACATCCTCAAAAACAACGACAATCATTAATCTAGGCCAAGAGGGATTTTGGCATTGATTCTGACACCGGGGCCCGCAGCAACAGGATGCCCGCCTTGGTTGTTTCAATGCTGTTGGCGCCGTCAGGGAACGTCTTGGGCCAACTGGGGGGCGCTTTGGGCGATGCGGGGAACCAACGGCATGCGAGTGACTTCCCCACCTGACCTCATCGCTCACAACTGCCAATCCGACGATCAACGACACTCTTCACCTTCCATCGCCACGAGCCCTGTTGAAATATCGCTGCTTTTCTCTCCAATGCGTTGCTAACACTGACCCTGATGTTCTCTCTTCTCAAGGCCCCCTTGAATTGAGAGAATTGCCCCGTTTTTTGGCTTCTGTCTGTCTTGGTTACGTACGCTTTTGAAAGACTTCCTGGCGAAGCAGCCCGCGACCCGTAGACGTCAACATGCGGTGGGCTTTTGTTGCCGCCCTGCTCTGGGCGGCAGTTCTTTCTCCAGTCACTCTGGCTGCGTCTCGTTTGAAGCCTCCTGTATTGCCGTTGATCGTGCGAAATCCATATCTGAGCACCTGGCTGGGAAATGCCCGCGGTGATCCGTGGTCAAAATGGCCCATGTTTTGGACTGGCCAAGAAATGGGCATGAGTTTGTTGGCCCAGATCCCCAGCACCGGTATGGTCTATCCGTTGCTTGGAAGGCCGCACGATTCGCTAGACTCGAAGAATCCTGATGGGTGAGGAAGAGACCTGTTTCCTGTGCCCCCCCTTTGCTTGACCTTCTATAGGTCGTTTTGCAAGTTTAATGACTGGACGTCTAGCTACCAATTGGCATTTGCGACGTTCCTTGGCTCGAGTTATGATGCGTCAACGACAAATTTGACGTATCGCATTCCTGTACATGTCAAGGGAAAGCAAGCTACTGATGTGGATATCATTGTTTCGTTCTTGTCTCCAATTACACCCACTTCCACCCTTCGCCAGTCGGTTCCGGCTTCTTATGTGACTATTTTCGTGAACGGAGATATCAATGTTAATGTCTATATGGACCTAAACGGCCAGTGGGTCAGTGGGGACCGAGGCAGTATGCTAGAATGGCGATTCGATCACCTTATCCCTGAACAAGGCGCGAAGAGTTTATTGAAATGGCAAGTAAAAAGGCAGACGGAGCTACTTTTTACAGAAATGTGGGATCGCTCAGAATGGGGAACCATGCATTTTATAGGGCCTGCGGTATGGAATGGATCTGCACATTGCGAACAATAGTGCTAAATGTGAACTAACTTTATCCTCAGGATGCCCGTTACGAGTCTGGCACATCAGCAGTACTACGAAAACGCTTTGCAAGGACGGGAACATTGCAGAATGTCAATGATCCTGTTTATCGCACCGTCATGGATAACGAGCCGGTCTTCGCATTCGCTAAATCATTTAACCTCAGTAGTAACGCCCAAGAAGATGCGGTGACTTTTACTGTCGCACATATTCAAGACCCGGTGGTTCAATTTGCTGCTGCCCGAGGGTTAACCTTGATGAAACCATTATGGCAGTCATGGTTTCCGGACGTGAACAGCCTCGTTGTTTTCCACTATCACGATTTCAATAACGCTAGGCTTCTTGCTACCAAATATTCAAACCAGTTGGCAATCGATGCATTCCTATCTGGAGCCGAAGATTACGTGGACATTGTTGCCCTGTCGGCAAGACAGGTTCTTGGAGCAACCAGTTTTTCTGGAACCGCAGAAAATCCAATTTTGTTTCTCAAGGAGATATCTTCGAATGGAAATTGTCAGACCGTGGACGTTATCTTCCCATCATTCCCATATTTCCTCTATACAAACCCGCGGTGGCTGGCGTATCTGCTTGAGCCTCTCATCGAGCACATGCTGAGCGGACAGTACCCTAACAATTACTCTATGCATGACCTAGGTTCGCACTTCCCCAATATGACTGGTCATCCTGATGGAAAGGACGAGTATATGCCGGTTGAAGAGTGCGGAAACATGCTTATCATGGCACTCGCCGTTGTGAACTCGCTTAGATACCCTGCGGGAGCCGCTGGTGAGGAGTCACACGGCATTGATGTTGATGCTCCCCCCGTGCATGGTATATTCCCGCTATCTCCTCTTCAGGTTAGCGATGGGATCGACAAGATTGATAACCCGTGGATTGATGGCGGTTCCGTTTCTCGTGCGCGTGAATGGGTTGAGAGATCCTACTCCTTAATCAAGAAATGGACTGGCTATTTGGTTCGATTCTCTCTGAGGCCTGAGAACCAGCGTAAGTATATGCAACTAAGAAATTTTCAGATTGACATATGCTGACAATATGAAGTATCTACCGATGATTTTGCTGGATGGTTGGCCCTCCAAACAAATCTTGCTTTGAAAGGTATAGTTGGCATCAACGCTATGAGTGAGCTGTCCCGATTTATCGAGAATAGAAACGATACATCCTACTACAAGGTCAGTGTGCCGATCCCTTTATTTTTGCTCGGCCCTGTTAATGCCGGATCCTCTAGAACATATCCGACACATACATTTCCAAGTGGGAAGGTTACGGCCTTTCGAGAGACAAAACGCATGCCAAGGTCGCTTATGACTGGTATGGTTCCTGGACTACTTTATACAATATGTACGCCGATGCAATCCTATGTTTCCATTTAGATGGCACACAATACGACCCCGATCCTCGATCGGACCAGCACCCATTATCCGGGCCTGTTAAACGCCGTGAGGGATTCATCCCAAAACATATTTACACTTTACAATCAAAATGGTATCATAATGTACGGCAAAAGTACGGCCTACCCCTTGATAGTAGGCACCTGTACACCAAGTCAGATTGGGAGTTCTTCGCCATGGCAGTGGCTAGTGAGTCAACTCGTCACGAAATTTTGGAGTCCGTTGCCCTGTGGCTTAACGAGACGGCTACGGATCGTCCCATGACGGATTTATATAAGACTGAAGGCGATGGTGGTTTTCCAGGCCCTAATTTCTTTGCTCGACCAGTGGTTGGGGGACACTTTGCCTTCCTAGCTCTGGAGCGAGCCTGTAGGGGAAAGGCTATGGATGGCTTAAAGTTCCTTAATGAAGGGGCCAGTGGGGATATAGATAAAGAGGAGCCATCTTATGGAGACGATGACGAAGATGGTCATGAAGATGATAGGAGAATAGAGCTTCAAGGGGAGCAGCATGGGTCACAGGTCAGAATTGCTTTGAATGATGGGTTTGATGGCGATCATAGTTGGGCTGGCCCCGACGATGAGCTGCTTTAACTAATTAGATATTTCCGTTGGTCTGACGGTAAGTCAACGGAGATGGCGCAGTACAGTACTATCTTTTGAATGGCTTTGGGTTCTGACAGGACTGGCGTATTGCAACTGTGCAAAGTTGCTTTGTGTATGCTTAGACCAGTATTTTACTATGGATATTTAGATACTTACTGTATACAACAAGCCAGCACTCCTGTGCTATATGTATATAGATGATGAAATATATCCAAAGTGGAAATGTTGTTTACGGGCATGGAGAGACACATGGTGATATTAAACCCAGTGGGAAAATAAAAGAACCTTTCCCATAATGATCACCCAAAAGCTCACCATCAGAGGGTATTGCAGTCACAGCATGTTTCTCCAGACCTTTGCGTCTCTGTTCATCGCCCCAAGATGTGCTTAAGGAGTCAATAGATCCCCTCACAAATTGTGCGCTTGTAGTTACACTGACCGTCATCATATCTGCAATCTAGTGACAGGGTTCGACCTAGATTTTCAGTCTAACTAGTTGATGTGGCGGATCTAAATCGGTGCTTGCTCTGCAGAACAAGAAGATATTCATGCCCATCCAGTAAGTTCCCAAGTGGCCACTGGCGGGTTTCCCGAACTATTTCCAGGGCCTCCAGTGGCTCCTTATGATCGACAAAGAAACCAGTGTCGACCCCACAAACAAGTCCTGTAGAACTGCTGCCTTCGAATAGGGTGCCACGCAGCTTTGCTTCTCCAATATAAGGTACGGGCGACGCCTTCAGGATTGCTTCCGCGTTGTCCTTGATAAAGTTGAGAGGCACCTTCTCAATCCCCACTGGTTTTAGTGTCAAAAAATGGAGGTTCTGCATCGTGTAAAGGGGAAGATTGGAACTTACTTCCAAGTGATCTTGCGGCTGCCAGGCACGCAAAGGGATGGGAACTCATAATACCATATACATCATCCGGATGCATCAGAAGAGATCCCAAGAGCCCACTCGCCAGCCCACGCCCACGGTAGTTTCTGTGCACCACCAATTGAGTGATCCAACAAATGCTGCGGTCGTCGTGTCTCCAACGACAGATGAATGCATTTCCAGCAAGAGTACCGTCAACAGTCACCCTGACATAACTCGTGGCAGCATGGTCCGGCAAATACTGGTCTCGTAGCCGGCGTTTGCCCAGTCTGATACGTTTTCCTAAACTCCGGCATTAGGGATTTAAGAAAAGAAACGAGGGTCTTGTATGTCATTTTTTTTTTTACCCGGAGTTAGGGATTGCTCTCCCCAAATCCCATAGTTCTCGCTGAAAAGGTTTGCAGCCTCGGCCAGCATGTCATCGGTGACTTTGGCACCGGGAAAGGTCTCATACTGGACTTGCTTCATCTTCACATGATCTTGTTTGCGAGCTCGCAATTACTGCAACATGGGCACTAGGCTGAACTGGACAGCTGGCTGTGATGCGCGGGATATAGAAGAGTTGGAAGGCAGTGTGTTCTGACGCACAGTCCTGGAAATGGGTCCTTGGCGTAGTTAGTTAAGCTGATATTTGGTTGTACCGTACGGAGTACTCCGGATGCATTCATCACACCAATGCAAAAAAAAAAAAAAAGGAAAATACAAAGATCTCCTCATCGACCGTTTCAACTGTCTTTTGATTTATCAGAAACTGGGTCACTGTCAAAATCAGATCAGCCACTACCCCCTGCAAGATCTCACAAGACATTGCACGGATGATAGACTGGGGCAAGAAAACAGAAGGCAGAGTACCAAGGTAACAGTTTGATAACTTAAATGGTTCTTTTCCAGTTCAGATATGAGGAACATTAATAATTGCACATGATTTCCCACCCAATTCTACAGTGCTCGATATCCGTCCTGCTTTTGGAGACTGTAGATTGAGGAAGACGGAAGATCAAAAAACAAAGCCCAGCATGACAATTCACACAAGATTAGAATTGAGCCCCATGATGAAGAGGGGAAGGGAGAAAGAAGGAAAGGTGATAGTAGATTCACGGAATTAATTGAACAAAAAGCCTCAATTTTTCAGCATCTCCCCATTCCATTTCGGTTCGCCTAGCTTAATGGATAAACGAAAACAAGATTTCTGGCATTTCGATGGATCTGCTGCGATTCTTTTTTAAATCAAGACGTATTTCAACGGCCTAAATAGCGAAACGTCCGGACTAATCCAACGTCGCAATGTCAAGCCAGAGGAACGTTTATTTGCCTCCGAGAGAGGGGAAGTTCTGTTCGTCGACAGTGGGGCCTTGGGGTCCGTTGCCGCCGCGTCCACGGAATTCACCGCGACCACCACGGCCACCACGGCCTCCACGGTCTCCACGGTCTCCGCCACGGCCTCCGCCACGGTCTCCGCCACGACCCCGGCCACGGAAGTCACCACCACGGCGGGGAGCTTCGACGTAGCGCATGTCAACATCGAGGATGTTCTTTTCCTTGCGTTGCTTCTCACGTCTAGCCTTCTCTTCGCGTCCCTTAATGTAGGCATCGTCTTCCTCATCACGCTTGAATTCCTTAGCGGTGGCCCATTTTTTATCAGCCTTGCTGCCTTCGTTAGGCTTGCGAGCCTCCTTGACACCGAGATCTTCGCGCTTAGACTGCTCGAGCTCGGACAAATACTCGGCATACGACTTGGTCTTGTCTTCTGGCTCGGGCTCTTTCTCCTCTTGCCGTTCACCCTCCTGAGTTTCGGCAGCGGCATCTTTCTCGTCGTTTTGGGCAATAGTTTCTCCAACTTTCTCGTCTACCATGTTGGATTCGCCAGTGGGGGCACCCCAACCCTGGTCAAGCTGCTTGCCAGTGATGCTGCAATGGATTCGGTTAATGCAAATACATGAAGATATCAAAGGACACCAGCGCTTACGTTCGATCGGTCTTTGATCGTCGATCCTCGCGGATGAGGTTTCCACGGTGGTCACGGTTCTTCACACCGCCAACTGGACCACTGCGAGGGGCTTCTTCGGCTGGCCTAGACCGGTTGGCACGAGAGCCGGCAGCGCCGTCTCGGAGGGCTATTAAGCAATTAACATCCGATCAACTTACAAGTATACCAGTGGCATATCAATAGTCTAAGCATACCACGTTCATTACCGCTGTATCGTGGGCCACCACGGGATAGAGCGGGGTTGCTGCCACGGGGTTGTGCAGGAGCATCACGCTTTCCATAGCGAGGAGCTGTCTTGTCTGCAACCTTGAGAGGTGGCTGTGGTTCTCTATCGGGGTCGAGCTCTGGGTCATTGCCTATAAAATACCAAGACAACTGTGTTAGATCAATTGATATCAATTGCATATCGGCCTAATTCAAAATCTATCGTAGATGAATCGCCGTAGGGAGCTTATAATCGTACCAAGAAGCTCATAAGGGTTCTGTTGATAATGCACACAGCGCCAGTCAGCTATGACAATTTCATCAAATTACCGGCACAAGAACATCAATTGAGCGCCCAGAAACTACTCAATTGATGCGCAACGAGGCCTAAATTCCTCGGCAAATAGCAAAACAAAGGAATTTGGTCGCACCTTGGACTGGACGTCCGACATGACGCCTGGTTATTTATGCCTTCCTGGGAAGGCGTTCCGTTATCGCAACAATTCGGGATGAAATGATAATTGGGAAGAAAAGCGAGCCAGACGAGGAGGGCAGAAGTCCTAGGAATGCAACTTCAGGAATCCAGCCTCTTCGAACTGAGATTGAACAGCAAACGGAGCGGGTTGGAGTTGGTTGGGGGTGGTTGATCCGGTTGTTTGTGGGTTTGCGAGCCAAGCTGGCGAAAGAGGTGAAGTTGGAATTTTGCCTCCGTTCGCTCGTTTGGGTTAGACTGCTTTTCCCCAGCCCCGCGAGCCAGCTTATGTCATCCGTTTTGCTAAGCGAATTTTGGAAGCTCGGACCGATGATTCTCCGTATTAGGGCTTAGGGTAGCTTATTACGTCATCCATACTGATACAACCAAGGCACGAGAGTGACAGAAACAGCTCTACATTGTAGCTTTTCAAAACGAATTATCATTACCATCATACACCATAGTCATAAACATCATGGCACCACTGGAGGACGCCCGGATACGCCCTTGCCACTACATGGCTTTTCCTTCCAGTGCAAAATATCTGTATGTACTGCGATACGTGTAGAATCCCCTTCAATCTAGAGAGGAAGACATACCGTACAAAGTTTCAAGGCTCGAAAAAGTACAGGTGACTGAATGCTCCGAGGGAGCGTCATACCCTGTGCCCCAAGCAACTTGAAGCGTTATCAGCGGGGAGCAATACGGGATGCAAGTGCTATGCATCATCGGACATTGCTCTGGGCATAGCTGAATGGAGTTTGAAAGTGCATGCTAGCACTCAGCCCAAACGGATCGGCATCTAGCATTGGATCGAAGTGGTCAAACGAGGTGACAGGACCAAAGCCATCTGTTTCTCCAAGATGTGACTGGATGTCAGAGTGGCCGTTCCGTTGAGTCCCCCGAGTGTATTCATGGGAAAACACATTCGACGACGCCGTCGGTCCTTCGGTTTCGTGGTGGTCATGGGTCATTGTTTGGGAGCCAAACTCCGGGTCTGTCATCATAAAGAATTAATTGGACGAACAAGGCTCGGCATGATTGGCAGGTTGCACCAGCAAAGGACGGGACAACTTGCCTAATTGATCGTACTGTTTCGGGAACGGTGCAAGGAAATATGAAGACTGCATTCGAGGGTTAAGGGGGGTGCCAGAAGAAGTTGCCAATTCAGAGCCTGCAGAAGTGTCTGGGGTATCGATTGAGACAGGAGTCAAGGCAGCATGCGTCCCTTGACCGAAACCTCCGGGTTGGGGTAATACTGGCGCCCGAGGGTATCGAGCTTTATGTTGTGACTGAGAGTGCATTTCCGTTCCAGCTGGGGACATGCCTGTTTGTAAGGCGAAACTGGAGGAATTGGAAGCAGCGGGAGAAGGAGAGACATGGGATGCGGGGGTGAGTTGTTGTACTTGGGGAGAATGCGCATTGTAAGCCCCCTCACGATTGGGAATCCCGGCTGGAGTGGATCTTTGTACAACCCCCATCTGCGGTTGATGTGCTGATTGTCGATTGAATGTCGACTGACACAGAGGTGACGGACGGTGAGGCTGGTGCCCTGATAATCGTGCCGGTGGGAGATTCGGGCTGCCGCTCTTTAGTCGCAATTCCGACTGGACGTCGATGCCTGAGTGGGAGGCGGAATCAATATCATTTCTTGTGTATAGTGGCTTGCAAGTACAGTGGGCCTATCACACCTTTTTCCAGTAGAATCCGCTCCAATAGCGAATTTTTATACCGGAGCATCAAGCACTCGTCGGCCGCACTACGATGGCTCTGCTGCAACGTGCGGAGCGTATCTTCATTCAGCTTGATAGTGGCTTCCAGCTGCTTGATATATTCCGTTCTGCGCTCCCGAAATGCCGCCTGGGCCTGTCGGTTCCGTTGTTTACGCTCCTCCGAGGTAGCATAGATCTAAAGACATGTCCCATAATTAGCCGTCCAGAATGAAGTGTTATTCATGGCGGTTGGCCCAATCGGCATACCGGTTTCCTTCCGCCTTTCCGCTTCTGCCGTTGGGCTTGGTCCTGGGGAACAACCTCTACATCCGGTTCCGGGGTAGAGATAGACGAGCTACAGGAACCCTCAACGTTGGCAAGCTCGGGCTTCGGGGCTACTTCGTCCACCACAGCCGTGATCGAGATGCCATCTCTCAACGCGGAGTTGCGATCGACTAGGGACCCCATTGGGCAGCCGGAGGAAGCCCTTCCGTCGCAGCTATTCTGCCCACTGAGGGGGGGGGCGGGCGGAGAGCGATCAGGACACGATGACGAGAGCGAGCGGAGATTCGCGGGATAGACGACGGAAGCGCGCGGCTGCTGGGCAGTGGTGAAGCAACGAAGACAGCGAGGGCTCCCAAGCGCGGATGAACAAGATAAGAGAGAGTGGACGAGATTAGGAGATGTTGGCAAAATAATAAAAGAATTTGCTAAGAGAAATAGCCGGCGGAGAAGCCAGCAGACGAGAATCCGAACAGTCAGGGCGGATGGCTGCAATCGGCCCTCCAGAACTGCCCGCCGAGTCCCACCTTTTGGATCGCGCGGGACGTGTGACCTGGTGCTTTTTGGGTTGGCGATGGGGTTCTCCGGGCTTTTAGTGCGAGTGTTGTGTTGACGGTGAGGGGAACAAGGGCAGATGCCAATTAATTACTCTGCGAAAACGCCGAAGAACCCGATCCCGTAGCCAGCAAACCCAGTCGACGCGGAGAGGATTATTATTATTTCAAAACGCACATGCTGCAACTCCGTGATCTCATCCTCTCGTATTATTGCAGTCCTGTTCCCCAGGCCCGGTGGGAGGTCAGAATCCACCCTCCTCGCCATCAGCTCTGTTCCAGAAGTGCCAGCTTCGTTCAAGCAATTCAGCCAAGACATTGCTCTCAAATTCCCAGGAGAACGTTGTCTTGGGAGCTTTTGGTTGTCCAGAACTGGCGGTGGTGCGCGTTGAAAGCAAATTCGCTGCCTGGACGTTACACCTGTTCTGTCGTGCGGAATGACCGCCCCAGATGGTGACAGGGCTGCAGAGAGCCGGCCTGCGAGCTGTCCACACTGCTCTCAGAGTCACAATCCACGGACCGGAGAAGGGTGAACCGTTGATATATGCTGTGGTTGGCATGGTCTACAATGGATCTGATACGCAGATCAAACAAGTGCTGTGACTATCCTGATCTCTGGCTGAGCTTCGATGAAGCTTGACGAGCTTGAGATTTCCAGACTCATGCCTTGCAGGAAACAGATTTTAAAATAGCCACAACACGGTCTCAGCTGGCTGGGATTCGTCCAGACCCTGTCGTGAATCTCCGCGACCAGGCCGGAAAGGATATATTTCTTTTGATGCCAAATATAGCTGCTCCATCGTCCGTCCTCCAGGGGTTGTTTTTCATTCCCGGATCTTATCCCGAGCGTAAAACCAGGAGTTGAGTTACAACCTCCAACGGCCGGTTTGTAGACACCTTTCTGGCCTGCTCCTTGACGGCTTCCCGCGCCAATCTGTAGCCCGCCGTTCACAGCGTAAACCAACTCATCAACGCCCTTCCGGCAAAGCAATCAACGAGCAACCCCGGCAAAGAGGGGAAGCCATCCAAACCTAAACCATGATCCTTGCATTCTCCAGGTCAAGGCAACCCCTCAGCCGTTTGCTACCCAGCATCCGTTATCCCTCCTGGAGGCAGTTCATCTGGGGTAACCGGCTGTTCATATCTCGAGCGTGTACATCGGCTCGGAGGATGTTGAGTACAGGTTTCCCATGCCGGAGAACTTGCAGCAGCTGGCAATATCCCGTGCGGTGATGCATCCGACCATGTAGAGTGGATGACAGTATCGAGTTGATCTCCGGGTCAACCTGCCGCTAAAGGTTCTTAGAGGTTCAGTGCGAATTCAAGGACGAAAATGGTGCCGACAAGCGTCGAAACGTGGCAACTCAGTGTTGAACAACTCGGCCGGGAAACTCCATCAGTGCTGCGAACCCCCGAGTTGTCGACCTTGTCATCAGTCAAGTTGAAGTATCAAAGGCAGCGGGAACAATATCTTGTGTCGAAAATACTCGTCTCAAAATGACAAAACCAACAGCATCTCATCCCTTTGATCCGCTTTCCCCTGAGGAAATCGCCTTGGTAATACCCAATTTTCTAAAGCAGCACCTCGGAGTCGCTCACTCAATGGCAGGTTGTGCAAGCAGTCAAACATGCCTACGCAGAGAAAAATGTCATATTTCGCGTGGTCACACTCGCGGAACCGCGTAAGGTGGACATGATACCCTTCTTGGAAGCAGAACACGCTTCAAAATCGGCCATTCCACCATGCCGGACCGCCATGGTTCAGTTTTATCTGGAGAATTCCTCGGATTTTCGGGAGATTCATGTGGACCTTTCGAGTCTCAAGGTGACAAAGGAGTTGAAGCTTACTGGAAAGCACTCCTACCTTGATCCGCAACTGATGGACGAATGTGAACAAGCGTGTCTGAAAGACGAGCAAGTTCAGGAGGCGATTAGAGCTCTACAGCTCCCTGAAGGTGCTGTTGTCTGCGTTGAGCCTTGGACATATGGCACAGATGGCATGCATGATATGTCAAAGCGTATTCTCATGGTATCATTATTAGTTCCTTTGAAAAATTGACTGCTCTATTTCTGTTACTGACTACTAAAGTGCTACTTTTACATGCGACTGAACGATCATGGAGATGCTAATTATTACGCATACCCCCTTGATATTTGTGTCGAAATGACAGACGATCTGGATGTGATAGGGATCCTTACCCTTCCATCAGGTTGCCATGACCGCGTGCAGCCCGCAGCTGATGGAATCAAACCATTCGATCGGAGGAAATTGCACAAATCGAGCGAATATCACCCTGAACTTGCCAAAGAGCGGCGTACAACGACTAGGCCGTACCATGTTGTTCAGCCTGAAGGGCCTTCATTCAAAACGGATGGTAATCTGATTACTTGGGAGAAGTGGCGGATGCGTGTTGGGTTCAATTATGTGAGTATATGGGATTCCATTTTATAACTTCAATTTGCGCCAACTGACTCTGCACAGCGTGAAGGGTTGACTCTGCATGATATCACATATGATGGACGTAGCGTATTCTATCGCTTGTCTCTTTCCGAAATGTTCGTCCCGTATGGTGATAGCAGGGCTCCATACCCTCGAAAAGCTGCTTTTGATTTAGGAAGCAATGGAGCCGGAGTGAACGCGAATAATCTAAAGCTGGGTAATGCCTCGTGTTGCTTGCTGCTCGCAATTCCGAATCTAATCCTTTAGCAGGATGCGATTGCCTCGGTTCTATCAAATATTTTGACGGGTATCATCATACTATTTCTGGTGATCCTCTAATTCTCAAGAACGCCATATGTTGCCATGAAATTGACGACGGGATCCTATGGAAGCATACAAATTACAGAACGGAAAATGCGGTCGTTACTCGGTCCCGAATTCTGGCTTTGCAGACGATCATCACCGTTGGAAACTATGAGTACATATTCGCTTTCCAATTCACACAAGACGCTGCTATCAACTATGAAGTTCGGGCGACTGGGATTCTATCTACGGTGCCGATTGATCTTGGAGACTCTGTGCCCTATGGCACGATAGTGGCTCCTGGCGTGCTTGCTCCTTACCACCAGCATCTATTTTGCCTGCGAATCGACCCTGCTATTGGCGGCCATGCGAACTCACTCATCGTTGAAGATTCTGTGCCAATGCCGTTGGACGAACCCACAGTCCACAACCCCTTTGGCATCGGTTATACTACGAGCCAGAGCATCATTGACACAGAATCATTCCTTGACACGGATATCGCAAAGGGCAGGGTATTCAAAATAGTCAATGAAAATATCACCAACCCCGTCACTGGGACCCCGATAGGGTACAAGCTCGTCCCCCATTATTCGCAAATGCTGCTGGCCCATCCGTCATCAATCCATGCCCGGCGGTCAGAATTTTGTTCCCACCCAATCTGGGTTACTAAATACGACGATAGAGAGCTGTATGCGGCGGGTGACCATACGATGCAGTCTCTGGGAGGCGAGGGGATTGAATCCTGGATCAAGTCTCGGCCTCACCCTGTGAGCGTGCGTAATGAGGATATCGTGTTGTGGCATGCTTTCGGGACAACGCATAACCCTAGGGTGGAAGACTGGCCGGTTATGCCTTGTGAGAAGATGCTGGTCTCGTTGAAGCCGGTGAATTTTTTCGATAGGAATCCTGCACTGGACGTTCAACTCAGTACTCAGGAGCGGAATTGCAGTGTACTTGTTGAGGATTCTGGAAAGAAATCTTGAAATCTTCTGAATGATTATTGTTTTATAAATATTTAAATCTGGCTTGTGAAGCAAGTCAGGGAGATGTTCCCCAATGCTGTTTCGTCGTGTGATCTAGTTACTATGCATTTTGAGTTGCACCGAGGAAGCCAAAGCCACAGGGGGTCGAGTTGCTCCGAAAAGCTTAACTATCGGCACTCACATGAAAGCCATCAAATGCTGTAAATTACCCCAGACTTCATTCCCCAAAAAATCTCCTAAAGCCTACCAAGATACAAAACCGGAATTTCTGCCCTCTGTACACAATGGAAGAAGATAAAAGTGCGACCCCGGAGATCCAGCAGCCTGACATGCGAGCCGAGTCGCAGAGTCCCTCTGCCCCGCCTTCGACAGAGCAGTTGAATACATCAGCACCCACCACAAAGCCAGATGAAGAGGACTCTGACTGGGAGGAGTTAGACGGTAAGTACTTCGACAAAACTCCGCCCTTCTTTCACTGCCTATTGGAAGCTAACATTCGCCTTTTTTTCCCCCCTTGCCCCAGATGTCCTCGATCACTTCTCAGCATCCGCCAAACCAGACTCTTCTCCCGCCCCGCCAAAACAAGACGGACAACCGATCTCGCACCAAAAGCAAGAAGACAAGCCCAATTTAGATCAGTTGCCAGAACCAGATGAAGAAGCCTTGATAAAACAATTAGAAGCCGGCATGGCGGAACTACTCGGTGGGAGTGGAGGGGGCGGGGAAGCCGGTGGCGGGCCCGATGCTGGCGGAGACGATGACGACTGGAACGCTCTGGCGCAGGAGCTAGCGAAGAACGGCATGCAGCCTGGCGATCTAATGAAGCTGATGTTAGGCGAGGATTTGTCGGGTGCCGGTGCCGGTGGCAGCGGCGAAGCGAGTACGGAGAACGCGGGGAAACAGGAGGAGACTTTCCAGGAGACGATTCGAAAGACGATGGACCGCATGCAGGAATCCGGAGACAAGGCTACCGCTGCTGTGAATGATAGTGCGGATAACGATGTTTTGGTTCAGATGCTGAAAGCTATGGAGGCCATGGATGCTTCGGGGTTGGGTGGGGATGGGCAAGATGATGATGAGAAGTTTGAGAATTTGATCATGCGTGCGATGGAACAGTTGTCGAATAAGGAGATCTTGTACGAGCCGGTGAAGGAGCTCCACGAGAAGTTTGGACCGTGGTTGAAGGAGAATAAAGAGAAGTTGTCGAAGGAAGATTACGAGAGATATGGGAAACAGGCGCAGCTGATGGCGGATGTTATGAAGAAGTTTGACGAGCCGGGGTATTCGGATGATAAGCCCGAACACAGGAATTATATTTGGGAGAAAATGCAAGAGGTATGTGATTTTGCGCTTCGGATACTGCTGTGCTGGCTAACACAAGTTGATAGATGCAAAGCACTGGCACTCCGCCTAAAGATCTCGTATCGGACCCATTCGCGGACGAGGTGTTTGGTGCCGCCGGCCCGCAGTGCCCACAGCAATGATAACACAGATACCCCATTTCCTAACCAGGGAAATTTCCCCCTGTTCAATCCCTTGTGCTGTACAACAGAATTCGATACCCGGATTACTTTGCTCTGGTATTGCGAAGTTCGCAGATGAGCCTCTACCAAACGCCTGTATTCAAATATCCCCGCCACGATTTCCCAACTCCGCCGAATTTGACGCAAAAAAAAAAAAAAGAAGAAGCGCGAGACTATCCATGTGACATGTCCATTTGTTCGCTCCGGTTCGAATTTGACGGTTCGTAATGTGCAGCAATATCGGCAAATATTCTGTCATAGTCCTCCTCATCATGGCTATTTTGGGTACGGTTCATCTCGAGTTCCCGCTCCATTTCTTCAAGGAAAGCCTCATACTCTTGCTCTTGCGTGAGATATTCTTCTAAAGCAGCCTCGTCTATGTCAATTAGCACAGACCTAAAACAATGCACACGGGATGACAGCAAAACTGTTCCGTAGCTTACCATCGCCCGCTTGTTCATTTCGTCCCACATTAGTACCCATTTTACCTCGATCATGCTCTTCGATATCCATCATCTCATCTTCCACATCTCTAATTTCAGGCGCCGAGCGCGCCATCTCTTCCTCAAACCGCCGTTTCTGAGCAATATACTCTATATACAGCATATTATCTTCTCTTGCGTTGTACATGGAACTCTCGCGATTCCGCTTTACACGGTTGAAAAACGCGTTTCGTCTGATGTCGCGGGAAGCGCGTCCGGCCACGCGCGCGGCGGGATTGCGTATTTGTGAGGCATACCGTTGCGCAAAGGGACTGGGCGATTGTGGCGGCGATGAGGGTTGTTTCGTCACGCGTTCTTGGTTCGTCTGCTGTCCTTGTGGCATCGAGAGGGCGTGTGATAGAAAGCGATTGGCATCCTGAGGGGGCTGGCGGGAGAGGTAGAGCGGGGTGGTCGAGGTGAGTGTATGGGGAGGTGAAGGTGAAGGGAGAGTGGCAAACATAGCTCCTAGACGGTGAATTGAAGTGGGCCACCTTCTTTGGGCTTGGGGATGGTGGTTAAACGAGTGGAGTGTCTGTTCGTGATCTGATCGCGTCCTTGGGGATGAGCGCGAAACTGATACGCTCATTAACTTAACCAAATGGCGGATCAACAACGGACCGACGGAACACATCTTCAAAAGGCGCGATGCCTTTCAAGGATTAGCGTCTGAAGGCATGTGAAGCCCAGCTCTTTGTGAGAGTGAAAGTGATATTCAAGAGCATGTTTCTTTCTGTTCATTCAGCTCTCTCTTTTAAAGCACTCAGCTGCTGCTCAGATTTTATATCTGTCGTTCACGTTTACTTTGGCCTTGGTCTCATCTCTCTTTACTGCTGGCAGTTCATTGACTAACTAATTAACGCGTCGAGCAAGATGGCGATCAGCGCACCATTCAGCAGTTTGACAGATGAAAATCAGATCGCAACAGGGTCAGCCTCAGTTGTTTATAGCATCAATGGCATCGTTGCCCTTAAGTGCCCGATTCGATATGCCAGCTCAAGCACCCAACATGAAGAGAGACAAGTTGCTTTTTTACGACGTCAAAGCGAAATATCTGTCAACGCATTGGAAATCGAAAAGGGAATCTTCACCGTCCTCGAGCAAGCACCACATCCAAATATTGTTCGCTGCTTTTTGTTTGCCGACGAAGGAATCTTTCTCGAACGTTTGGCCACCCCTTTGAATGTCTACCTCGAGTCAGTAGAAATAGTCCCGCAGCCCCTTAAGATCCGCTGGCTGCTCGAGCTTACAAGTGCCGTTGCCTGGATCGAGAAACTCGGTTTTATCCATGGAGATTTACGCCCTGAGAACATGTTGCTGACAGAGAACCATCACCTGAAGCTGGTCGACTTTGACTGTGCAGTCACGCCTGGGGAGAACTTGCAGACCTTTAGCGAGCCTTACTGGCTCCACAAACCAGATGGCAGCCTGGATAGAGCCGGCCCCAAGAGCGAGCAGTTTGCTCTTGGTTCTTGCTTATATTTCATTTTCCACGAAACAGAGCCCGTCATCGATATCGTTGATGGCCAGCTTGATTTTCCCGGTCTTTCATCGACACCCTTTGCGCCTCTCATTCAAAAGTGCTGGGATGGGGGCTTTCTTTCAGTTCGGAAACTGGCCTTAGCGGCCCTCTGGAACACGGCTAGATCGGGGCACATTCGCGTCCTTTTAAGCTTCCTGTATTCAAGCTCAATCGGCTTCCGGAAATCAAGGACTTCATGCGGAAAGATCGGCCCCCTAAAGAAGCTTTGCCAGGAATACTTGGATGAACAGCGACGAGTTCACCTGCCTAGCCTTGCGGCTCCGCCTCAAGCTATTGATATCCGGCGCAGCTGAATCCTTTTCAACCTTTTCGCCTTACACCGTCAACTGTGGTCAAGGCTTTTGCTTCCTGGATACAATTCTGGATGGAAACTGGCTGGTCGAAGGAGGGTCTTTCCGGAGGGAGGCGTTTAACGTTGCTAGAGTTCTTGGTCTAGCATTTTTTCCTTGCTGTTTTACGGATGGACTGCACGCTTGATACCCCTCCAGCAGTTCACTTTTCTTTTGTACCTTTCTGTCCTAGATTCTTGGAGTTTAGGCGTCTTTCGTTTCTTTTACTTTTGTTCTTTCTTTCCCTTTTCTCTTTTCATTTTTTCCTCAAAAGTTAAGAGACTAGAGTTCCTCATAACTTGTTCCTTCTTTCTTAAAGCGTACTAAGTGCCCACCATACTTCCAGGTCAATGGATCATCAGGTTCGCGTAGTCCACACAGAGTCTTCCACACTGTACCCTTATCCATTAACCGTGGTCCATGCATGAGCATTGGCACCAAAAATAGTACGCCATCGCCACATTCCATACCTACTCCTCGGAGTTCAATCACCAAAACACCTCTTTCATAGGGCCCTCGGCCCTCTTATCTGACCTCGAATGACCTTACCAACTCCCCAGCAAAGCAGCTGGGAGGTCTTAACCAACCCTGGACACCTCATCCGGGATTCTCGGAACAACTTCCTCATTTGTTGCGCGCCACAGGAACCACTGCGTACATTTTCAATTGAGTTTGGAGATGATTTGCTGATAACCAGGTTTATAAGCGCCCAACCTATCCGTAAATCCCATAGTTGTAGTGGCTGTGCTATTAATAGGGAAAGCAAATTTTTATAATGTAGTAGATCGTATCGCATCGGTATTCGTAATAAAAAACTGATTAATTGCACATCAGAGTTTTCTTTTTCAGGATATCCGGGTGTTCATGGTAATATGTATGTTACCTGAGACTAGTCTCTTAAGAGGAGGAATATCGACATGGCTTTTGAACGGAAACGGTTTGAAGAAAGCAGGGGAACATGGATGCGCATAAACCATCAATGCAATTAGGAAGTAGGTGTATAAGTGAAAGAAAGTACGTTTGTTGAAAAGGAGATATCACAGCAACGTATACTCAAGCCCTAAAATATCATTTTTTTCCCTCCTCAAGTATGATACAAACACAGCCTTTCCACTTCCACTCGGTATCATACAGACATACATGACAAAGAATGAACAATTAGTGTGAAAAGGAACGAAAATCCTCGTGTAGATCACAGCCGAGGAGCGACTTAAGGGAATGACCTTTTGAAGATATTACAATTTGCTTGGATAGAAGAGGTTTGGTAAACCACATGTGTATAGACAAAAGTCCTCAAAAAGGCGGTTATGCTGTAAAAAGCAAGCCAGCGCGGAACGGAGAAATCGAAAAATAAGTCATAATGGTTGTAAAAAAAAAATGCCAGACGCCATACCGCCATGTGCCCATGCCCCCGTGAATTGAGACTTAAACTCATAAAGAACCCAGATATCCGAACGTGAGGCCGACCCGCCATATTAGATATTATAGCTGGACTGCCGTTACATTCGTACCTCGTCGGCCGTTCGGGATGGGTGATGTGCTTTTTGAGCAAGTGAGAGCCAGTAAATAACCGATTGCAAAACACAAAACCCAGGCCAAGCTCCAAGATGCCTTGCACGTAATTGCAAGGTAGGGTAGGGAGAGCTTAAAAGTTCGAGGCTGGATTGACTGGTCCCGGGTTATGATATTGATCGAGAGTTGTCTTGAACGGGCTGTTCGTCATTGAAGCCTCATGGCTATGCGAGCCAAGCGCCGTGCCGGTGAGGTCATCTTCGTCGGGTTCAGTTCGAGCGTTTCGCTTGCGGCGCAGTCTATAGATCACAACGGCAAGTCCTCCGAGAATGATGGCACCCCCAACACCCACCACCACGCCGATGATGATGTTCCTGTTGGACTCGCTCAGTCCAGAGCTGCCGGTTTGACCCTTTTCTTTGCCCAGGCCAGGAGCGTTGGTGGCGTCCGGCACTGACGAAGGAGTTGTCTGAATGATGGTTTGGTCGTCACTGGTGATTGTTCGAGTAACGATGACTACGGATGAACCTGGCGGTGGAGGTGGCTGTGGATCTCTGGTGGGAGTTGGCTTTGGGGGTGTTGGTCGGGGATCGTTTGTGGGAGTGGGTGGTTCTGGGGTGGAAGACGGCGCGGTTGGGGTTGGTTGCGCTGTGGGAGTGGTCGGGGTTGGGCGCTCTGAAGTGGTTGGCGGGGTGGACGAGGGCTCTGTCCTTTCAGAAGTGGTTGACGAGGTTGATTCCGGCGTCGTGGAGGTCTCCTCGCCAGTTTGTCTGTTGGCGGGAGTCTGTGGAGATGGCTGAGGTTCGATTTCAAGTTGTCGCCTGTCCAGGTCTGCTCCGGAGACCACGATCGCAAGAACCAGGAGCGAGAGCAGGAAGAAGGAGAAGGTCGATGGCCACCGCATCTTGGCTGATGGAAAGAAAAGGATCTGCGGCGGTCAAGGTTGGCGCTTTGCCTGCGAAGCACTGGAGAGGCGGTCCTCAAGAGTAAGCGAGCGATGGGATAGTGCTTCAAGAAAGAAGTAAGCAGCCGATAATGATGGATAGGAAAGAAGGAAAGGAAGATGATGCAAAAGAGCGTGATGATCAGAGAGTGAGATGTGAGAACGAGCGAGGCAGTTCAGCGAGAGGGGGCGAACCGACGGGCGTTTTGGGAGAAAAAAAGGGCGAGTTCAGTCTGGGGACCACTTTGTACTGTTGGACTTGCATTTACAACCAGTGAAGACCGCTGCTGACACCCGCCGCCTGCCCCAATACGGTTAGCACCCTGGCTGAGACGCGATGGCCCCGTATTTGGGCTGTGTGATTGGCAAATTTATCCAACTCTGTGCCTGTTCCGCCAACCAGAATCCGCGCTGCGTGTGAATTCATTTCGCGGAACCGGTTTTGCCGGTGGATCGGTTCGTGACACGAAAATTACCGCCATGTGACGCTCCGTCCGCTAGTCCTAACTGGGAACAACAAGCGCCGCTATGGCTTGCTGACTAAGTTTCTTGTCGCCGCCCTAAACCACAGCGCAGGCATGCAACAGTTAAGAACAACAGGCATATTTGGGATGAAAATAAATAACCGGTGCGGAGTAGATTATAAGTTCATACTAATTGTAGGATTGAGGCTAGAGCTGAAACCGAGTTATTTGCGTTTATGCTGGGCTGTATAGTTCGTCGTAGCGGCATACTGAACTTCCAAACACACTTCATGCTGCAAAGCGCGGCCATCACCATTCCCTTTTATTAGTTAACTATTCATTGGCCTCGATAGGTTTGAACGCGAGGCCATTTGCGAAATGCAATTGAAGTGAAGATCAATCTTTCAATGTCCGCTGAGGCTGATATTCAGCTCCCCCGCCGGAGTGCTTCTGCCACGTCGCTCCCCGGGCTTGAGGGAGCAGCCGACGAGAGTGCCACCGTCCAGGAAATCAGAAATGAACTGGAGTTTGCGCAGTGGTATGACACCGCTGGAGTTGAATTGCGAGAAGCAACCTACGAGAAATACCAGTATGTGCCTCCCTACATTGGTTTCGAGGCGACACCGCTGACGATGACGGATTCTTCTCAGATCATGCCTCGACGAACTGGAAATGACCACTTCTCACCTCGATTCCCTTTTACGTGATAGCTCTTCGACTCTCGACCTTCTCTCAAGCTTGTCCCGGTCTTTTAAAGCCGTAGAGACCCAGACGACCATTTTCCAGCAGCAATGCGAAGGATTATTGTCCGCTGAGGCCCGGAGCTCGAAGCTCGCTGACGACATACAAGAGAATTTGCAGTTTTATGACTACTTGGATCCTGCATCCAGAAGGCTCAATGCACCCGGAGCCGGCAATTCGGTCCGCAGGAAAGACTTCTCTGATATGTTGCGCCGGCTGGATGAATGTCTCGACTACATGCAAGCACATGTAAGGCACACTCTGTGGGCTATGGTACTAGTTTGATACTTACTATACATTTTAAGCCCGAGCAAAAGGAAGCAGAGACGTACAGAGCACGCTATCGCCTACTCTTGACTCGTGCTTTGACATTGATCCGGGGCCAATTCGTTTCTACACTACGGGAGATATCGTCAGGAGTATCGAAACGTATCGCAGATCGGCAACTTAATGATACGACAATGTCTGCATTGCTCTACGCAAAATTTCGCGTAGGAGCAGCTGAGATGAAAGACATCGGGTTGGAAATCCAAAAGAGAGCTGTTCCGCCGTTGGACCCGAAGCAAGGGGCAGAGGCTGAATATCAGAGCTTACTCAATGAACTTCACACTAATTTTTCAGCCACCCGTGGAAAGCTGATTATTCCGCTCGTTCGGAAGAGGCTGAATGACATCGCAAATGCACCCAGTACCTCGAAGGACCTTGTTGCCTTTGCTCGGGGAAGTATCAGCTATGTTCGAGGAATCTGTTTAGATGAATTCGACTTGTGGGGTCAGTGGTTCCACGGGCAACAAGGCCTCTATGATTTCTTAGAGTCTGTATGCGAACCGTTGTACGATCATCTGAGGCCTAGAATTATCCACGAAACCAAATTGGTGAAATTATGCCAGCTATGCACGCTTCTCCAAACTCGATATCTGATGGACCCAGAGGAGGAAGCCGAGTATCCGAATCCAAACCAGCTCGACTTTTCTGCCTTGATTCAACCTGCTCTCGAAGATACACAGACTCGCCTGGTCTTTAGAGCGCAGGCCATTCTCCGAGATGAGATCGAGAAATTCAAACCTAAACCCGAGGATCTCGATTATCCAGCCCGAAATACACGAGTATCTCTCCCAGGAAAAGAGAATAAACAACCTGTTGTCTCAGGCAAAAAGCAATCACACCGAGAACCTGTTTCGCCCGTCCCAAAACTGCCAGTGATCGTTGACGAGGAACTTGATTCTCCAGGCGAGAAAGACCCTAGATGGGATTTTGAATCCAGATCAGTATTTGAAGGCTGGTACCCTACTTTGAGGAAAGCTGTTTGGCTTTTGAGCCGCATATACCGGCTCGTTAATGTACGTCGTTCCCCTTTCATTCATCTTTCCTTGGCCCTTGCTGATTTGCGATGGACTTAGTCTACCGTCTTTGATGATCTAGCTCACCAAATAGTCCACCAAACCAACCTGTCTCTCCACCACGCCAGCTCCCAAATCGCCACCAAGTACTCCGTACCCGACGCCCAACTATTTCTAATAAAACATCTTCTCATCTTAAAGCAACAAATCGTTGCTTTCGACATTGAATTCGTCTCACCAGAAGTAACCTTTGACTTCTCCGGCGTCACCAACACATTCTGGGAACTCCGCGAACGCGGCGGGCTCTTCAACCCCCGTAATCTCGTCCACTTACTCGGCAACGGGCTCCTCCCGCGCGTCGTGGAGAATATGCTCGACGCCAAAGTCGAATTGGACGGCAGACTGCGGACCGTGATCAACGATTTCACAAACTCGTTTGCAGCAAGGATGACTGCGCCGTTGCCCTCGACCGTGACGGCGGCGTCTATGCCTCAGGCCCGTGCTGCGGTTGGCAACGCGCGTCAGGTTATTCAGAAGGAGGTCCCCGAGCTACGCAGGCTACTAGGAAATTATATTACTGATACTAGAACAAGAGAAACTCTTGTTGCTGCGGTGCAGGATAATGTTATTCAGCTGTACGAGGATTTCTTCCAGGTGTATACTTCTGCAGAGTCGGCTGGTGATCGAGTCGTTGGGAGAAGCAATGGGAAGGGACGGGCGGATGAGGTATGGGACGTCGAGACGTTTACGGATTGGAGTGAGGGTGTTTTCTCTGTGGGGATTCCAAAGTTGGAAGACCCGGATGAGGAGGTTGAAGATATGAGCAGTGATAGGAGTGTATAATGTGCGTTTTGAAGTCAAGTCGAATACCGATGACATGATGTGCGCCTCTATGATCCGAACTCTGCCATTCAGCAGCATTAATAATTATACCCCTCCACGGAAGACTTGATATGGAATAGGTAAATGTTCATAGTTCCTAGGAAGGCCTAGTTTTCCAGCTGGCAAGTTATACCTCTTCGCCACCAGTGTTGAAATCAAAAGAAAGCCAATTCGAAAAGCAGACTAAAGAAACATTTGCCGGGTTCGAAAGACTAAATAAATAAAGGTCGTGAGCAAAGAGTCATCATAGGATAAAAAAGACAAACAGCCGCGTCCATTGAATGTCAAATCAGAATTTTGAAAGAAAGCTGGGCATAACTCAGAAGCAAGGAAGTGAATATAAGAAAGTTCCCTGGGTTAGGGTCGGTTAGGAGCTGGCAGATATTAGGTATAGTGCTGTATCTACAAGTGTCCAATCTTCGCGTGAAGCTCTGTATCGAAGAAATGGTAATTCGGGTCGGGAATGCAGAAGTGGTGTTGTGAGAGGAGAGTTCCCGCAGTTGGGCGCTCGTAGGTATTGCTATAGAAACGGTTAGTGAAGCCCTGGAATAAATGAATAAAACAGAACTTACATTGTGAAGCAATCCAGCATAAATGACAGAGCTGCTGGAGAAATATTCAGTGACACGTCTTCGGGGATAGGCGGCGCCTGGTTCAAGCTTCCCAATTTGAAGATTGCGCCAATGGCTTCTTCTTTGCTCCATGGGCGTCGACCAGCGAACATCTCTAGAACAACGCATCCAAGAGACCAAATGTCAACTTTGGCACTATATCCTTTACCCTGGGATTGTACCACCTCTGGTGCCATCCAAAACACAGAGCCTTGCATTGAGTTGGTTACATCGTTTCCATAGATATTATCAGTTTTTTTGGAGATACCGAAATCCGATATTTTGCATGTTCCGTCAAGGTCGAGTAGAATATTATCGGCCTTAAGATCTCGGTGGAGGATTCCTTGATTGTGTAGGTAGGACAGGCCACGCAGTGTTTGGATGGTCAGTGATTTAACCACACTTTCTTCGAATTTGCCATGTTTTCGAAGGCAGCTTCCGATAGAGCCACCAGGGATATATTCCAGGTAGATGGAAATGGATAGTTCGGTGCGATGACACCCGAGATACTGCACAATATTGGGATGCTCCAAATGCTGCATGGTATCGATTTCCTGGTCCATGGCCGAAACCATTTCCTTTATGCGGTCTTTATCGTAACCGGCCGCTTTCTGGTTCACCTCCACCAGTTTCACGGCTAAAAATTCACCGGTTTCAGCATTCATACCGAGATACACCCTGCCATATGTACCTTTCCCAATGAGTTCACCCCTGATAATCCTGAAAGTTGGTTGCCTCTGGGGTACTTTCTCAAATGGAACTGGGTGCTGTGGTAGAGGATCCAGGTCACTCAGGCGGCTACCCGGTTTTGGACTGATTTGCATAATCCTGGCTCCGAACATCTTGGTGCTTTTCCGGCGGAGCATGCCAGACTGCGCATTCTTGGACGCGGCAGAGCTTTGGTTTCGACGAATTTGATGAGCTCCCTTCGCAACTTCACGGATCGACTTCATACGGCTCAAGCCACCGGCGCGGCTTACATTCCGCTGTGCTACATTTTTCGCCGTGACTTTGGCCTTTAAAGTTGACTCATCTGACCCTAAAGTATCAGATGGATTTCGCAAAATGGAGCTTAGGTTAGGTGCAGCATGCGCCACATGCTCTCGTAAATTTTGTGTCAGCTCTGGCTCTGGTTCTGAGTGGCTTGGAGTGGCAGTTGGAGACATTGGAGGTGTTAGGGTAATGCCTTCCAGGTAAGGTTCATCCAAATCGATGTTAGGGAAGAAATCTTCCAAGTGATCAATCATCCCTTCAACAGGAGGACGGCTCGCCCATACATCGTCCCTAACAAATGATCGTCGACGAGAATTTCTCAAATCTTGAGGAGACAAGTCATCAGTATCCGGATCGCCTGAATGGTGTCCACTTCGGGGGTCACTATGGTCAGTGAGTGGCGTAAATGCATCAGCGGGACCTGGAGATTTGAAAGTCACAGAGAGGCCTTTCACCGCTCTAGAGTTAGTATTCACCGTCAAAGCAGGTTTCGCTAATCGACCTCTAGCCAAGCCCGTGGCTGCTTTCCCGTCTGCTTTCGGTTTGGGTTTTCTGTTTGCAAGAGGTTTTATGAAAAGGTCTTCGTCAGAAGCTTCATCTGAATCTTGAGGTGGTGGCTGAGGTGATTTTACGAAAAGAACCTCTGTTTCCTGGAAATCGAAGTCAGGGCCGTGTGACAGTCGCGACTGTGACGGTACTCGACTAGGTTCCCGCAAAGAGGTTGCATATGTGGCTTTTTCGGGTAGGCTTGATGGAGTTTCACTAATACTCGCTTTCCTTGCCGAAATACCATCGTTATGAATAGGTACATTGAACATCGAGGCGGGGCCTCTAGTAATAGCCGAAGAAGGGCTGGCCCGGTGAGAACCGGCACTGCCAGTATCAGCGGATTCCGTTGAGGATAGCTTTCCGATTTCTGATTCTGATGGAGTGCGAGGAGAATGCGAAAAGGGGGACGAGGTTGCTAAGGGTTTTGCAATCGAACCGGAAATTTTGCCCATGTTGGCAATGGCCGCAGCGATGCCCATACTGGGGGAAGCTGACTTAGGGCTGAAGCTCGACGACCTTTCTCGGGTATCTACCAAGAAGTCTTTTGAAGATCGTGCCTGGTCAGAGCTTTGAGCACTTGAGTCTTTGGGTTTCTCTGGAGGCCTTTTGTTTAACGAGTTAACCTTAGCAAGAGTGCTTGACCCGGATGGTGCTGTTGGCGGCTCTCTTCGTGGAACAAAGTCTTCAGACCGCTTGTCATCATAAGGTGACAATCGCGTAAAATCAATAACTCCTCCTCCCGATGTTTGCTTCTTTCTGAAGCTGCTCGCGTTTCGACTGGAGGTAAAGCCGCTGTTTCTCTTCGACAACACGGCGATGTTCTTTATGAGCCGCTAGAATCGCGGCGTTTCGTTCTTTTTCTTCGGGAGACTCTTCAACCCATCTGTCATCTTCAATAAACGGGGAATATGAGGCTAGATTCTGCATAGATGCACGATGTGCCATGGCAGGAGATACTCGGCGTGGGTGGGCGACATGGTTGGTTCGATTGCGAGCGTCATCCTCTGTGGTACTTCTCTGTGGTTTGGCACCATTGGCAACTCGCTCGGAGAACGACAGGCCTAACCCGAATGCAGGCGGCGCCATGCTTTGGACATACAGCTTCAAGCTTCCCTGGTCGTCTGATTTGGATCTCCGATTCACAACCAACATGGTATCGCTCAGCGGTTCCTCATGGTCGACTTTTCCGGGTTCTGTCACGTATATTAAAGCGCTACTTGGATCTTTGATACCGACGCCGTTGCACAAGTGAGCTCGCAACATATCCGCGGCATCAACATCCGTAACATCCACCAGGCGGTAGTTCCAGCCATCGAGCGTCACAAATATGAATCGTTTCGGAGGAGGATTCTGAATTACTTTTCGAGCGTGACACTCGGTCGACGGCTGGGATATGCCATAGCCCAGTGAGGGTTCGCTCGAATTTGGACCTGTTCTCCCAGAATATGGAAATGATTGGGCATATCGAGCTGGACTGGAAGGAGTATCAAGACTTGTGTCGTCAGGAGAAGGGTGCGATGGACCCAGCTTCTTCCGGATAGCATTTAAGAAGCCTTTATGATCTTTTGACGGCATTTCGCTTTGCTTCATGGGATGCTCCCGCATAGGTGGGCCTTGACCTTGTCGGAAGCTGCGACTCATGATAGAATCAGAACTATTTCGTTTTGCGTGAGTCATTTCACCAGGTGTTCCGGTAGGTTCTGCTGTTACCATGGATGCGAATTGGGTTGCTGGGCTCCCGCCTCTGGATTTTGAAGTAGTGTTCCCATGATCGCTAGAAGCGGATGGGCTATGTCTTCGCCATTCACCAAGAGCATTACCAAGTATGTTTCTGGACAGTTCAGATCTAGAAGTTGTTTCTTGATGGCCGAATTCAGTAGAAGAAGGGTCAAAGGGAAAAGAATCTGGTCGTAGATGAGGGGAAGTTTCTACACCTCCATCTGTTGACGCGCTAGCATGTTGTTCATAGAATCGTCCAGAAGAAGTATTTTCAGAATGCTTAGTTTCAGCACTGCTCCGGATCAACTTTCGCATCCGAACCCCTTCATCACGCTCCCGGCCTGGATCCCATGCAGCCCCGTACTCTTTTGCAAGCTGCGGGTAGATATCTTGATGCATTTTGCCAAAGTTTCCCATTCCATTTGCACCTCCACAACCCAACTCAATAAATTTTGCTCCTTTCAGATCCAGCGCTCTGAAGGTTTCTTGCCATTCAGTGGAAAATCCATTGTGGGCTAGCCATTGTAACACACGATCAAGAGGCCACTTTTCATCGGCCTCATGAGCTGACAGGCCGTTCGAGGCAGCGCTCGCTGTCTGGCGGCTAGAATTTTCCCGAGTTGAAACCTGGGAATTTTGATGCGATGACTGGACATGGGGATTCTGCGATGGATTTAACGTTCCTGCGGTATCAGACTGTTCACGATAAGAGAGTGGAATTTGGGGCCGGGTTATTTTATCAGCGTATGATTCCGGGATATATCGTAAGGCATCCGGGTCGTATGGGTATCCGGCCCTCTCCGGACGGGAAAAGTGATCGTAATTGTCGTGCGGGATTAGTGGAGGTATTCCAACCCCCGGGCCGAACGAGCTACCACCGGGGATGTACGTTGCGGAAGTAAGAGGCGGATCGTTAGAAGGAGGCTGCTGTATAGAAAGAGAGCCAGGATTTTGAGGCTGATGTATACTGTAGGCCAAGTGCTGATTGTACAATTGATTCGAGGAGGTTAAGGGCGGAGGCGGTGGGTAATAGCCTTGGCCAAATCCCTGTTGTTGTCTTGCCCACTGCCATCCAGGTTGATTTCCATAGGCCGATCCGGGTGGAGGGCCTGGTGGTGGGGGAGGTAAACCACCAGTATGAGCTGTTGTGTGTGTAACGCGTGGAGGGGGAGGAGGAATTTGCATCATATGGCTTTGTGCGGTAGCCTGTGGGATCGATTGCGGGGGTGGGCCAGGAACGTATGGCTGCTGGCGTTGGCCATCCATGACAGCGTTATCTTTCCTGCCTATCGTTCGCAGTTCACACTAAAAGCGTAGGTTGGAACAGGAAACGTTCAATCAAATCCACTAGTACATCGCCAATAACCCAGTATACTCCGCGCAAAGATGAACCAGGTTCCATCAACTCATCAAGGAATTGTTTTTGTTAGTTGATTGTTAGGTGCGGGTTGATTATCCACCACCATCGTAAATAAGCATATTGCCATTCGAGTTCGGCTTGGGAGCTCTTGAGTTCGATCAGAAAACGAGCGTGACGGGTTTGGCGATTTGTACAGACATGAAGCGGTCACGGTTTCCGTATTCACATCCCGAACGCACGGACATAACAACTTTTCAACCTGTCTATCTCCCGACGGAGACCGAGTGAATCACAAGCCTCGAGACGGCAAACCGGCCAGGCGAATTCAATTGTCAACAAAATCTTTCAAGAGAAGAGGTTAGCCTTAACCTCAGCTTCAGAAAAAACAATCGTTGCACCCACCGAAACAATCTCGGTTTAACGACCGTGTCGAGGGGGCGGGCGGGGGGCAGCCCGAGTCGTCTGGTAACTGCTATGCTCACAAACGATGCTTTCAAGGAGCACCTTCTTAGTTTTTCATCGGTCGTCCGGCCGCTGTCTCGATTCTCCACGCTGTGTATTCGATATGTAGCCGCAGTTCCCAGAGTCCAATCCAGCAGTCCGCCGGCCTTGTCTGTGTGAACATCCCCACGACGTCCGGCGTCGATCCAGCCCGTTGAGCTTCCCGCCAATTAAACGGGGGCAGTGCGCCAGTGGTAGCACGTGATTCCCGGTCTGGGCGGGTCCCTTGCTGTTTAGTGGTTTCTGATTGGTTGGCTGATTATGCTCCCCTTTAGGCCTAGTTGGTTCAGCCACAGCTGTTTCCATGCGCCACAGGATCCTTGATGAAGGAAGTCAACGATCATAAAAGAAAGAAGCGTTTGGTGTCTGGTGCTTGGTGGATTAATCAGTTGGCCTATTTTGGAAGCTTGTAGTTGCTTGCGGAATGCTACATCGAATGCAAGTCCACTAACTAACTACATACCCGCTCGTGACGGAACAAAATCGATCCGAAATTACCTGGGAGACTGTTCTAATGCAAAGAGCACTGTACTGTTCAACAATGTCTCATTCAGTATGGTTTATTATATCCTATGAGTATCAACTACAAGGTTTCACATATGTATCAGAAAGTGGCTTTTTGAGGCTGCAACCTCTCAATTCGTCAGAAGCATCGAAATCATGCGATCCATTCATCCAGACGCGACCGTCAACGTCAGGCCGTAGCAAGGGCACCTTATGTTGCGTTTCTCCTCGCTGATGCCTCTGCGGTTAATCTCAGCGCAGCGGGTGCGTCTTCTTTAGGCATATACAATTCCACAAGCTACAATGAGGTAAGAGGTCAGCGTTCTCCAAGTCGATGTCTAGTCATCGGCAGCGTACCTGCAACTTTTGCGCGGCCGAAAACTCTTTATTGTCGAATAGCCCAATCAATTCTTGTTTTGTTCGAATTTGGTAAGTTTTGTATTGGTCTGGTTTGGCTCCAAAGGCGGGCACCAAGTCCTTGAACCTCCACTCTTGGATATCATTATATCTACTGTTCCAGCCGTGGATATACCGCTCAATGGTATAGCCCTCATTGCAGATCACGAAACTGTTGCGATGTCAGCGTGGCAATATCACCGTGTGTGTGGTTAGCGGTGCTTACATGATGGGCGTAAGGTTATTTCTGATCATAGTGCTCAGCTCCTGGACAGTCAGCTGGAAGCTACCATCTCCGATAAACAGAATCGTCCGACGATTCCCTTTCTCCTGTGTGGCGAGTGCAGCGCCCTGGCAAGCACCAAGGGAATAGCCGATGCTGCCCCAGAGAACCTGACTAATGGCCGTAACGCCCTTTGGAAACCTGGTCTCCCAAATGCCGAAGTTCGCGGTTCCGGTTTCGGTGATGACGATATCATTTTCCTGAAGCCATTTGCCCACAGTCGGCCAAAACCACTCGTGGGTGATAGTGGGTTTCGACGCACTAGGATCCTCGTGTGGTTCGTTTTTCAATTCAGGTCCAGGAGCAATATTTACCTTTCCCATGCGTTGCACCACCTTTTGAAGGACACCTTTCATTCCTACTCCCGGGTATTCGGAATAGCGCACACTAGTATAATTGCTGTGAAAATCAACAGAGTTCATACGCCCAATGCGGTAAGTGAATCCGGTGGTATTGAAGTCGGATTTGATAGCGCCAATACTGAGAATCAAATCAGAGGACTCAACCCGGTCCCTTACGCCTGCATTGGATCCGTCGCCGGCGTACACGCCGCCGTAATTAGGAAGAGTTTCGTCCACTGCACCTTTTCCCATGGGAGCCACAAACGTAGGCAACCCGGATTTCTTGACCAACTCGTGGACCTCGGCCAGAACGCGATGGCGAATGGCACACGCATCGACGAGGATGACTGGATTCTTTGCAGCATGAAGATATTTCAGGACCACATCCACAACGTATTCTTCCTTCTCTTCCTCGTTTGGTGGCGGGCTCAGATCAATTGGTTGCTTCAAACGCTCCCCGTCCACTTTCTTTTCGACAAGGTCAGTGGGCAGAGCGATATAAACCGGGCGGCTTCGAATCCAGCATTCCCGTAATGCGCTATCGATATAAACTGCAGCTTGGTGAGGATCGTTTAGTCTGGCTACGGCACATGAGATGCCAGAACTCATGTTGGCGAAAACATTGTAGTCGCCGTTCCCAAGCGTGTGGTGGAGGAGCATGCCATCTTTCTGGGAAACTGTGCTTGGCTGACCGGTGATATGGACAATCGGCACAAACTCAGAAAATGCGCCGGCAACGGCATTCAGGGCAGATAGCTCTCCCACTCCAAAGGTCGTCATCAGGGCTGATATCCCGTTGATACGGGCATAGCCATCGGCAGCGTAGCCTTGATTCTTGCCGGTCATTTCTCTCTCATCATGAACGATTCGGCTGAGCTGATTGCATACCTGCGTTCAATTCATTGCAGTTCCCTACCCATTTTAAACCACATTTTGAGACGTAGTCGAGAGCGACAAGGTTGTAGTCCCCTGGGGGTCGTTAGATGGTCGATTCAAGAGACCAATTGCGCAGAGAATTTCACCTGGCACTCCATGAATTGACCGTATTCCGATCTGGTGTAGCCGTGTAAAAAGATACTCAGCAATGTCGACTGGATGCTTCAGCTCCTTCGTTGCGAGGTCAGTCATGATGGATCAATGCGGACGTCAAGCGAATCTTGAACGGTCAGAGTTGTTGGTTTATTGACTTACAGCTGCACCATTGCGGGCACAGAGACGTGCTTTTATTCAAGGACACTGCCGGCACCTCCCGGACCCCATGTACACTGTACAAGCTTCTCAAGCATTGGTGTTGCCATGTCTCTCTTGAAACCTGGAATCATCGCTGTGAATGATGTCAGATTCTGTGTCTCTGAAGTTCGAGAAGGCTGCCCAGTCCCGATGAGGCTAGTTGAGGTGTGGTGCATTGGCATGATTGGGTGAAGAGGCTTTTGTCCAATGCAAACAACAACCACCAGGCTGTCAGGTTGCAAACAGTGGACAGAGTAAATGCATGGAATTGTCCAGGAGGCATGAATGTTGAGAATCGCAAATATCGGAGCTAGCAGTTGAGAGAAATCTAGATTGTTTGTGCGTTGATTGAGTTCAGAGGACGAGAAGAAATTTTGAGCATCATGAGCGAAGTCGCAGGGCAGAAAAGAGCAGCACCCGATGAGCATTCGGACAGGAAACAAAAGGTAAGTTGTGCCCTATATTCAGTACTCTTTTTTTTTATTTTTTATATTTTGGCTTGCGCTTAAAAGGAACAAAGTGTACTGCGGCGTCTTAGGAATATTGGATAGCTTTCTGATATCTCTGTAGCGCAAGAAGCAGTGGCGGACACCTGGCCCAAAGCTGAATGTAAAACGGACCATTGAGAGCGGTGACTCTGGAATATTTGTTACATGTGACAGGGGTAGAGAAGGCAAGTGTACTGCTGAGATACTGGATTTGCTGTCTCAAGTAGGTCAAAATCTATACATCTCTTTTAGCTGTGCGCTGACCAGCCAACGCAGGAAGTGCCCAATGCTGCTCCGAATGAGTCAGAAGAGAATGATTCCGCTGCAGCAGGAAGCGAGGACGACATCGAAGCGCAAATCCGAAAGGAAGTTGAATGCATGAAGCCAACAAAAAAGTCCCGCGCACTCTTCGAGGCTGTGAGGCTGGACATTCCGTGTGGTGCGTCCTGGATCTTCGTTCCACTCAACGCTGCTCGCCTGACGCTCGCTTGCGTATATCTCTACTTTCTATCTAACATATGCGACTAGTGCTGTTCATCAGAATGGATAAAACCCTAGATCCAGTGGACCTCGTCCATCGAATATGCATGGACGCCCATGCCAATCCTGAGAAGAAGCGAAGTCGATATGTCAAACGATTAACGCCAATCACATCAATACGGAAGCTTCGTAGTGGTGGGCTCGAAGAGCTTGCTGGCGAGGTACTGGAGCCACATTTTCACACCGGTTCTTCGAAGAAGGTATCTCTTCGCATGCGACCGAGAAGCTAGCCCGTGGGGTTTCTGGAGGTTTGAGCACTACTAAAAATCGAGCATTGGGGATGCAGTATGCGATTCGACCAAGCGTGCGAAATAACCACGAATGGCCAAGAGATACCGTCATCCAGCTTGTTGCCCGTGCCGTGGGCCAAGGCCATACAGTCGACCTGAAAAACTATGATGTGCTGATTCTGGTGGAAGTCATGCAGGTAAGCACCCTTTGGCGAGCCGCGGCATTTCATTCCCTCGACGATCTTCAGGTCTTTGACTGTTGGGTAGAGTATCTGCGGCATGAGCGTTGTCAGCGGGGATTACGACCAGCTGAAACGGTTCAATCTAGCTGAGATTTACAATCCGACGCCTCGGCCCCAGCTGGGGACAACCGCTTCTCAAAACGCGTCAAGCAACGGGAATACGAAAGTGGAGTGATTCCTGATCCTTCGCAGGGGCAACAGTGTGTAGAAATACTGCGGTGTGCGCTGGGGAGTTTTGTTGGTGACCAGCATGCACTCGACTCCAGCGCTGCCGTGGGGGTCGGCGTCAGCATCGATCCACGATGACTGACGCGAACTCTGCAAAGGGCGGAAGTTCGCAGGAACGGGAATCTATTCGAGAGATTTGGGCCATGTGTCTGAAGATCTTTGTCAAGGATGTACATGCTAGATAGATGTAGACGCAGAGATACCGATGCCCTGTTCCACGGAGATCGCGGCATTTCCTCCAACTCGCGTAGCTCACTCATGGGCCAAGAGGCGTTGTCGCCCCAAACCCTGTCAACCGATCTCGATTATTGAGACAAAGGACATTTCGCTGTCGAGAGCCTGAAGGGCACAATCGCCAATAATGTACTTTCACGGCGGCCAGAATGACTCCCCGTGCGCGGCCAGCTACTGGGATCACCGGAGTTGCTGTCAGGGTGGCATGGCACCGTCCCCAGCACCGGTGGGAATGTCACATTGCGATGGAGCTTTTCAGCACCAAACCTCGTCAAAGGCCCATGCTCATTGGTGCAGCGTCGGAAAATTAACGGCCATTCGACGTTTCTGGGTTTCAGGTTGGCGACAAGCGAAATCCATACCTTTCTCAACTTAGCAAATTCTGGCGAGTTTGCGGCCGCGCGCTGCTCCCGCAACGTAATTTGCAGGCATATCCACATGGTATCCGCCATGCATCGGCTTGTCGTCATTTCTCGCTTCTGGGCCGGCTCTCGAAGCACTGCGGTTTTCTGGCCCGAGTGCTCTCATAGGCTCCTGGCGGTCGATGTTCTCGCTTTCGCTCTTAAGCCTCTCATCGTGCCATCTGGCTCATGATCGCCTGGCTGTTGTTCTTCGACGCTCAGGGTACCGAGTATCTTCCCAACGCAGCCGATAATATTGCAGCGTGTGCGTTTAATGACTTCCCACTTTCTGAATCCAGTATTCATTGCCGATGTTTGATATATCGTTGCCGAGATTTCGTGGCCCCGTTCTCTTGTCAGCATGCAGCCACTTGACTGTGTCAGATGGTCCCTTTGACGAGCTTGAATGACGACCAGAATATATATACCCCTGTGGGAGCGCGGAGGAGACGAAAATAGATAGCCTGGCCCGAGTTATCTATCAGATCTTTAAACTGTAAGTAACCGCTTGAGATTTATACCATCGCCTACCATGGAGCCGCTGCTGGGCTGTGAGGCCCATTACTATATGACCCGGAGCTTCTATTCCCGTCGCAATTTATTAAATATATTTTCTCAAGATATGCCTACCACTACCACCTATCCCTTTACATTTTGCAACATCGCCATGTCTTCCATTGCCAAACCCCTGGTGGACCAAGGTCCCGATTTTTCCGCCTTTCAGCGCCTAGTCAGATCACTATTCCCCGGAGCCCAGGCCCAGAATATACGGATGCTGGAGGGCTCTGTATATCCAATCCATTTCCTCCAGATGTCAAATGGCCTGGAACTAGTCCTCAAGACCCGCCCGATATCAGCTACGCCAATCCTCCGGAACGAACGATATCTCCTGGAAACCGAAGCTACGGTTCTTTCGCTACTGTGGCAGAGAGGGATAGACGGAATCCCCCAGCCTTTGAAAGTCGACATTCCCCACTATCCCCCGCGAACAGGGTACCTTTTGAGAAACTCGATCAAAGGGGTAGCCCTCTCGGAGATCAGCTTTCCCTTGACTTCAGACGACCGAAAATCCATTGATCGGCAGCTGGGGGCTGTCGTCAGATCTATTGGACGGCAGACTGCATCTCAGTTTGGGCTTGTGCACAGCGTCGCATCGGGCGTGGGCTGGCGGACCTGGAAGCAAGCCTTCTTATCCTTATTCGACTCTCTCATGTGGGATTCGGAAAACGCGTTCATATCATTGCCCTATCCCGAAATTAGGCAGCATGCAATACGACTTTCTGCTGCACTCGACGATGTCGTGGTACCGCACTTGGTGGTGGTTGATATCGGAAAACCATCACACATTATCCTCGATCCCAACACGAAACAGGTATCCGGGATCGTGGACTTTACCAGTGCTTTATGGGGGGATCCTTTGATGGCTGATGTCTTTGGCTCCCCTTCTCCCGAATTCCTTCACGGCTTCGGATCCGACCTGATGGACGTAAAGTCCGCTCCTATTCGATTATTATTGTCAGTGAAACCTTTCAGTATGCCAACGCCTTTCAGTTGCTAATATCCAAACAGATATTCCTGCTATCGCAGCGTCCTCAAAATAGCACGGCAATATTACCGAAATCGGGAAGGCGACGAAGAACTAGCGGCTCGCCGAGTATTAACAGCTCAACTTGCAACTTTATCAACTTTAGAATACCCCTGACCCTTCGTGCCGTTTTCGCTTTAGACTGGATGTTTTCTTATATACCCTAGGATTTTGATTTGGGTGGTCATTTGAGCATAATACATGTATGTATCTTACAAAAGTATATATAGATTGTCTTCTTGGGAGGGTCTATAGATGTGCTATGATTGAAGCGGAGCAATCTTCACTTTTTCCAATTAGTTGATCATGCTGAGAAGCATTTGGATCCCTGGTGTGGTTAACTACAATAACTATCCTCTTATCTTCACGTGACCGATCACGATAAGAGTGCCTTAAACTTCGTCATCAGAATCTTAGTGCGATCGACTCCCAAGTTGGGTTGTTCACCTTCAAAACCACCAAGATTGTTTCGAATTCATGAAACATGGCTCACTTCCTGCGAGGTAAGCAAGCCGGTATTCAGAATGACTTGTCCGCAGGCCTCTTTCCAGAGCTTTTTATGCTGGACGAAGTGAGTATTTCAATGCCACCCTTGCTTGTGATTATACAACTGCTCTAAAACCCCTGCTATCAACTTAGGTTGCCCGCTTTGGCGTAAATTCCCGCATCAGCACTCTAGCATACGACCCAGTTCAGTCTCTCCTTGCAGTTGGCACAAGCGAAACACAATATGGAGGCGGAGAAATATATGTTTTTGGACAGCAGAGAGTCTCTGTGGTGTTCCAGCTTCCCCGCAAAGCAGCGTCCACCATACTACAGTTCGCCGCCGATAAGCTTATCAGCGTGGATTCGAAGAACGAAGTCTGTGCATTTTCTCTAGTAGAAAAGAAGCTGGTTGCTTCGTATGCGCCTCCGGGTCTGGTTACTGCTATCTTAACTGATCCTTGCCTTGACTATGTGTTTATTGGGCTGCAGAACGGTACTTGCTTACTATCCTTGATTTCATTTTGAGTAGGTGCTGATACTTATATTCCTAGGTGAGCTTGTTACATACGACTTAGACCGACGGATACCGGCCCCTTTCAAGCTTCCGAACTTCTGGAAAGAGCGTAACCCGCGAGCCAGAGTCCTTCCCATAGTGTCACTGGCTTTTCATCCCCGGGATATTGGTGCCCTTTTGATCGGATACTCCGATGGTGCTGTGTTATTTTCCGTCAAGCAAAACAAGCCTCTAAAATATTTCCAGTTCGAAATTCCTCCTGGTGCCCCTGGGAGTAACTCCAGCCCGTCTTCTCTAGGAGAAGTTCGGCGACCAAGGATAACAAAAGCAATCTGGCATCCCACAGGCACATTCATTCTTACCACACATGACGACTCTAGCCTTGTATTCTGGGACCCAAAGGATGGCAGGCTTGTGATGGCCCGAACTCTGACTGATATTGACATAGACAAACCTGGACCTGCATCAAAAGCCTCGGCTTCTAATCCAGATGCATTTTCTTTGAAAGAGCCCATTTTGCACGTGGCATGGTGCTGCAAAGAAAACCCTGATGACACCGGTTTGCTTATTGCAGGTGGCTCTCCAACCACGAAGCAGACAAAAGGATTGATCTTTTTTGATCTTGGCCCAACCCCGAACTACCAGACATCGTCCTGGCAGATCCTTTCTAATCATTTTGCATCCCCAAGACGTGAAATAAAATTGGGGACCCCTCCTAATGCAGAAGTTGTTAACTTTTGCTTAATCCCTCGGTCCTCGCCGCATTTTGCTGGCGGGCAAGACCCAATCGCGGTTCTGGCGCTTCTATCATCCGGGGAACTAGTCACCTTGAGCTTTCCGAGTGGCCATCCTATATCTCCCACTAATATGCTCCACTTATCCCTATCATTTGTGCATCCGTTCATTACCAAAATGTCCTTAGCATCCGTTGATCGCACTAGATGGATGGGCTGGAAGGAAAAAAGGGCCCAAGGTCCTAAGGTTTTAATTGGCGGTGCTGTCGCGAAGCGTCATATGAAGCGATTTGAGAGCCGTGATATTGCTCAAATGGCTCACGCAGATGGCCTTATTCGCATGTGGGACACTGGCCATGATGATGAAATTGAGAATCCTACAGTCGTTCAGGTTGACCTTGCCAGGGCGGTAGGGCGTTATCACAACGTCGAGGTCGCTCAAATGTCACTAGCTGGTGCAGCTGGTGAGTTCTCCGTTGGCCTAAGGTCCGGTGAACTGGTGGTATTCCGATGGAACCGTAACGAAAATGCTGGCAGTGACTTGCCACCAGGAAATAATGAAGGTCCCGGGCTTGTCACAAATATAGCCCATAGAGCGGACCCCGGCTTAAAAGAAGGTTTCCTGCCTATGGTTTTATTTGATCAGCGCCAGGGCTCCGTCACAGCCTTGAAGCATAGTGATGTTGGTTTTATCTGTGTTGGCTACCAGTCAGGGAGCATAGCTTTCGTTGATTTACGCGGCCCAAAGATAATACACACAGCCAGCCCTGCCGATTTTGGAAAGCTGTCTCGCAGAACCAGCATTCGGAAGAGCCACGGGTCCGTTGAAACCGCAGCTGAATGGGCCACATGTATTGAGTTTGGCGTCTTGACTCTTGATGGAGATAGTAAGCATTTCTTTTTTCCTCGAATTTGCCTTTAATTCGAGTCTCAGCATAGGGGCCCTCCAACGGACTAACGACAATAGATTATTCGAGCATTGTTTGCTTCGTCGGCACCAGTCGTGGCCGACTCGCTACCTTCAAGCTATTGCCGTCTTCAAGTGGCTTTTCCGTTTCGTTCGCTGGCGCAACCTCTTTTGATGATCGAATCTTAGCTATCTGCCCTATCAACGCTGACAATGGCCAGCTGACTCTGGCGACCCAGCAAGCTGTTTCGGGTTTGAGAAGTGGGTCTAAGATTCACGGTGTTGTTCTTGGTGTGACTCCTTCTGAGTGCCGGATATTCAAACCCTCCAGCGCCAAAGGGGCTCACAAGACCTGGGATGAATTCATGTGCGATTCTGCAACCGTTGTCAAAAGGGGAGACGCTTATAGCTTGGTGGGCTTGTTCGGTGATGGAAGGGCCAGAGCATATTCAATTCCAGGTTTGAAGGAAATCGCCTCCGCACCTATCGATAAGTTTTTCGAGGTAAGGAGGTTTGGAGATGCTCGTATTACAACTTCAGGTGACGTGTTTGGCTGGGTTGGGCCTTCGGAGGCCGCTATGGTCCATGTCTGGGGTGCTGGGCTACCTTTGTATGCAAAATAATCTTGCTTAACGGATCTATCAGATGGACTAATTGTCGTTAGGGATCGATGCGCGGACGTCCTCTTCAATCCCGAGCTGGTAGTCCCTCCTCGGCCGACTATCTCCAATCTTCAATGGATATCCGGCACCCAATATGTGTCAACCGGCGACATGGGACCTTCTTAGTAAGTATCTATCCAGACCAACTCCCTAGCCTTTGATTGCATCTAATGGCCCTTCAAGTTGGCGGCCCCGACCGTCCGCCATCGAAACGAATGATGGAGCAAATGCGTTTAGAAGAGCAAGAACGTCAGTCTGCTAATCGCGAGAACCGCGCCCGCCAGACCGCCTCTCCCACTCAGGAGTCCCAAGAAGGATATTGGGCGTATATGCAGCGACAAGTCCAAGAGAGAACAGAAAGGCTCGGTATCATGGGGGAGAACATGGATCAGCTGGAAGAAAATAGCAACGGCTTCGCACGCGATGTTAATAAATTTATCAAAAATCAAAAGAAAAAGGCGGTTTTGGGCGGTAAGTGTCATGGAGCTTACCTATTAGTACTTATGTGGTTGAGTGAATCGCTTGGGCTAATCTCGTATTGTTGTAGCGATCGGTTCTAAATTCGGGTTCTGAGTCGAATTATGTCTACACCGTGAATTTCCTAATTCCCCTTCGGTTTGGATACATTTATGTGGTTTATTATGAAGTCTTTGGATTGAAATCATATTCGGGTATTTTAACGATTGTATGTCTAGGTTTATCATTTCGCTTCGATACAACTTTGTATCTTAACTATCAACAAGACAAAGCATAAAACATTGCAAAGATATCTTAATATTTTTTTTAGACAGGGAATATGTGCGTAATCGTATGGAAATATGGAGAGGCTCAGGTAGCTGATGTCGTGTCTCGCTGCATAAAAACCAAAAAAAAGTGGGAACAATAGAAAATCGTTGAAGAGGGATAGCAAAGGGGGGTTGTTCGTTCCATTTTGCGATTTAGTGGACCATTACTTCAGATTGTGGCTGTTGACGCTGGTCCGGAGTAGGATTGCTGTCGTCCCCCATTTCAACGTCTTCATCTTCAGCTTCGAAGCCTTCTTCTTCGTCCTCATCCTCACTTCCGCTAGTTTCACCCTCTAAATCTTCACTGCCGGCTTCGGATTCGTTATCATCTGGTTCCTCGGGGCCCTCACCGGTATCCATTTTGTCATCGTCTATTTTTTCTAACTCGTTAAGCTCTTGTTCCAGAGCGGCTTCGAGTTCAAGCTCCTCAGCACCGTATGCTTGTCCATCGTCTTCCAGAACGTCCGCATCAGGTTGTTCAGGGGGGAAATCTGTTGCGTCCGAGTCGGAATCCCTAGAAAAATGTTTAGATCAGTAAAACAGCTCACTATAATCTTCAGTCACTGGAAATTGGAAGAAAACTTACCATTTGATATGGAATCGCGTAACCCGAGGTTTTTCTGCCAGCACACTGCGCCTCACCCTCTCGATGATGGGTTTACCAGGAGGTTCTTGGTTGAGTTCTTCGCTGTCGTATTCGTTATTCACATAGTATCCAACGCGGACAAATTCTCTCCCATCGTAGCTACATGTAAGCAAAATAACGGTCACCCCGAGGATTTCGGACGTGGGAATCCGTTTGAGATCTGGCGGATCTGCTTCGAAGATGAACTTATTAACGCCGATAGGAATGGGCCCGACTAATAAAGAGTCTAGTTCTTGATCAAATTCAGATCTTTTACGTATTAGCTTTACCTGGTCTGGAGCAAATATCGAACGCGGGGGACAGTTGACTTACGATGTCGCGGAGCCGACATAGGTGAGTTTCCACTCCAGATCTGATTGAACGGTTAGAACAGGAAAACTCAAGGAAGTTTGAAACAGGCTACGCACCTTTTTGAAGTTGCTCGAGGCATTCGAATGTGATTTCGAACTCATATGGCGCAGTAAAAGGCGCGGGGTTGTTCAAGACCCTCACACCAAGAAGAGACACCACAGACATAGTTGAATGCGAAAACTCTCCACTGTGTATTCAATGATTGAAGAAGCTGTAAATGATGAGAATAGATTGAATACACCTGCTTTGAGAAGATCAATAGGACAAGAAACACGTTGGTCAGGGTGAATAGGTTTTGATAACGCGTGATTGAGAATCAATTAAAGAAACCGCGTTCTCGAGCTAGCGCGATTCCGTCAACGTCACGTGACCATACCAGTTTTTCGGCTTTCCAACTGTTCAACCTGAAAGAGAAGCAAACAACGACGTCGAACACCACGACTTTCTTTCTGAAACTTCTCCCGAAACCCTTTTTTCTTACTGCCTGCCTCATATCTACGGCTGCTTCTACTGGGTATCTTCATTTCTGTTCAGTCCATCTTTGTCGCTGTGAGTAGTCAACCTGTTAGCCTGAGTGTGTTATGCGCCCGACTGACCAGAGCCGTCTGTTCCAGGCAGAAGCTTTCGGGTTTTGCTGGCTTCGGTACTATCGCCATGGCTGAAGACGAAGCCGAGCGCGCATTTTTCCGATCTCAAGCATTGAATATGGAGAACTACGAAACTGGTGCGCAACAGGGGGAAGCTGGCTCAGATTCTGATGAATATGATCCTTCAAAAGCAGTTGAAAACGAATATTCTACGGACTTAGCAAATCCGCAAACTACCGTGCCAAGTTCTTCTCATGTTTCTGAGTTTTCTGCTCCTGATTCTGTTCAGCGGGGGAATGTCTCCGATAATTTTCCTCATGGGCAGGATTCTAGTGGTGCTTTTCCTTCAAAGTCGCCTTCCATATCTGAATCCAGAGCTTCAGCTCCAACATATCCGGCTGCTCCTGTGGTCGGTGCAACCACCCAGGCGACAGACGAGGTTCGGGCAGAAGAAGTTGGTGAAGGAGACGGAGGTGACGCAGAATATGAGCCACCAGGGGCATTAGATCATGTTCAGGATACCACATCAACTCCTGCAGATATACAACAGCGTTCGCTTTCTCAAAATTCTAATAAAAATGTTTCTCAATTTCATGTATCGCAGCAGCAGACTGTGCCAGACAAAACCACTTCACATGATGTTTCCAATAATTTGTCTTCTATTGCTATTCCGGCCGGTACTCCAGTGCAGAGTGATGCCGCATCCAAACCTGATGACGCAGGCCTGGCGGTTCCTTCTATTGCTCAGTCAACTAACAGTTCTATTCCCGCCACTCCCACTCCAACTCCGGTTGCCAAAGGCCGTCTACCGCATGACCGAGTCGGAATCCTTGAGGATAGAATTCAGGCCGACCCCCGTGGTGATATTGAAGCATGGTTAGAACTAATTAGCGAACATCGCAGCCGGAACAAGCTCGACAGTGCCCGACAGGTTTATGAGAGGTTCTTTAAAGTGTTCCCATGGGCCGTAAGTACTGCCTTGCCTTTGTGTTTTCATCTTCGAATCTAATCATCCATTTGCAGGCCGATGAATGGGTCACTTATGCCAATATGGAATCCGAAAACAACGAACTTTATCGTCTTGAACAGATTTTCAACAAAAGTCTTTTGAACATACCCAATGTTCAATTGTGGTCCGTGTATCTTGATTACGTGCGGCGTCGTAATAATTTAACAATTGATACTACTGGGCAAGCGCGGCGTATTATCTCATCGGCATATGATTTTGCATTACAAAATATCGGTATCGACAAGGATTCAGGGCTAGTCTGGATGGATTACATTCAGTTTATCAAGTCTGGTCTAGGCAATATCGGCGGGTCCGGCTGGCAGGACCAACAAAAGATGGACCTGCTCAGGAAGGCCTACCAGCGAGCCATTTGCAGTTGCCATGCAAGCAGTCAATACGCTCTGGAAGGAATACGACCAGTTTGAGATGAGCTTAAACAAAATGACGGTATAGCTTCTCCCGTACCTGATCCTTCTCCTTCACATAATACTCACGAGATTTACATCATATTAGGGTCGTAAATTTTTGCAAGAACGGTCCCCTTCTTATATGACCGCTCGCAGCTCCTACACCGAATTGCAAAACATCACTAGGGACCTTGTTCGATCCTCACTTCCTAAACTCCCACCCGCTCCAGGATTCGACGGACATGCCGAATATTTGAAGCAGGTTGGAATTTGGAAACGCTGGATCAAATGGGAGAAAGACGATCCACTAGTGCTTAAGGAAGAGGACGCCGCAGCCTATAAGGCTCGTGTACTATACATTTACAAGCAGGCTCTTATGGCTTTAAGGTTCATGCCTGAACTGTGGTTTGAAGCATCAGATTTTTGCTTCCAGAATGACTTAGAAGCTGAAGGAAACGAGTTGCTGAAGCAGGGAATAGAAGCCAATCCTGAAAACTGTTTACTTGCTTTTAAGCGCGCCGACCAACTTGAGATTACAACTGCTTCCGAACAGGATCGCGTTAAACGCGGCACGCTGGTCAGGGAGCCTTACGATAAACTGCTCGACGCCCTCTATGAACTAATCACCAAAGCGAAAGCCAAGGAATCTCAGGAGATAGCCGAGATCGAAGAACGGTTTGCAGGAGCAAACATGCAACCTACAAACCGAAACGACGAGGAAGAAGATGACGGCAGAGATGATTCCAAGGCGAAGGAAGCTGCGAAGGCCAGTGAAATCGAAGTGACAAAGAAAGCCCACGGGGAGCAAATTGCCCTTCTTTCGAAAACAATATCATATGCTTGGATTGCACTCATGCGGGCCATGCGGCGTATTCAAGGAAAAGGTAAACCTGGTGAGATTGCTGGCTCTCGACAGATTTTTGCCGATGCACGGAAGCGCGGCCGGATCACAAGCGACGTGTACATCGCTAGCGCATTGATAGAGTATCACTGCTATAAAGACCCAGCGGCAACGAAAATTTTCGAACGGGGCGCGAAACTCTTTCCTGATGATGAGAATTTTGCGCTGGAATATTTGAAGCATCTGATTGACATAAATGATGTTACAAGTATGTATTGTCTCGTTCCCTATCAGTTTCAAAAACATACTGACTCAAGTCTAGACGCAAGAGCTGTCTTTGAAACTACTGTTCGCAAACTGGCGTCAAACCCTGATAAAATTGCTAAATCAAAGCCAATTTTCGCCTTTCTGCATGAATACGAATCCCGCTATGGCGATCTCACTCAGATTATTAGTTTGGAGACTAGAATGAGAGAGCTATTCCCAGAAGATCCCACCCTCCAACAGTTTTCTCACCGCTATTCTGGCCCGTCGTTTGATCCCACTGCTGTCCAGCCTATTATTTCACCCTCGCAGGTCAGACCGAAGCGCAGTGCTCCATTGGAAGAAGCTCCGTCGCGCCAGGACTCGCCTGGAGGCCCTTCATACATCTCCGCATCCCCCAAACGCGCATTCCCAGCGGATGATTTGGACGATGATTTCAGACCACGAAAGTTTATACGGGCCGAATCACCACTCAAGGGTGCTGCGGGGAGAAGACTAGACCAGCAGAAGCGAATACATCAGGCCAACGGGGGTGGCACAAGCAACCTTGGTCAAACCCGGCCACCAGCACAGGCACAGCCGCTTCCGAGAGATATAGTGTATCTTCTCAGCATCATTCCTCCTGCGTCGGCTTATGATTCTGTGAGATTCCTACCTGATAAGATGGTGAATTTACTGCGGCAAATTGATATACCAAATTCGGTTTCACACTTGCGGCCGCCTGTTGGTGCAGGACGCCCTCAGTACGGTGGTAAGTAAACTAATACATAACATCTGGATTTCACCGCTTAGGATCCGATCACTGACTGCTTATAGCAGGCTACCGTGGCAATCAATGATTTCCTATTTGCTGTCTAGTCCCATGCTTTTGAGGTCTCTTACTGTGAGTTAGGGTTTCCCAAGTCCCTAGATGATTCAATATGCTGGATTGATATGATCATATTTGAAAATGCAATCTTGTAATTTTGTTTGTGTTGCGTTTTATTCTTTTATGTTTACGCTGGCTTTTGCTTTGCTCGCCGTTTGTCTGGCTTTCAATGTTCCTGTATCAAGCTGCGTGGTTTCAAGGTGTTGCTGCATCAAGTAGGCGTTTGACCTTTCTGTCCGGGTTCTCTTCTCAGCTTGGGGCCTCCAGGGAGGGCACTTTGATTTTACGACAACGGATAGGTACCTGTACAATAGGCAGAGGGATTGAATGAAAAAATTCTCATTACGCTCCATGATATTCATATGACTTGGCTTGGGTGCTCGTTGCTCATGGCATCTCAGTTTCAAGGTTGACTAGGATTTCTTGGCGATACATGCCGCTTTTACACCCACAGACCCGGGGTCAAGCAGCACTGATTCACTCCCAAGCGGGTAAGACGGACTACCTGTGTTCAGCGCAAAAGAAAATGAGACAAAGAAAAGACGGAGTTTGGATCGCGGCGCTCTCTTACATGCATATGTACCTGCATACATACTACGTACATGGGCTATTTCTAGTACGCTGTGGAGGTCTTCATTTGAGCTTCAATGACCAATGCAACCGCCAGCTGGATGGCTGATGCTGCTATGCTGTTTTGGCACCATATAGCCAGGTCCGTCGCTGGTCCTGCTGGGTAGCTATGAGATATGTAGCATATTGATTATGCAGGACCCAAAGCCATGGATAGCGGATGCAGTAATCTAGTTACTGCACACTTACTAGCCGCTGGGAAAACATCAGGGCCCTTGCAGCTGTCTTAAAATTTGTTCATGCGCAAGCTTACTTACCGGTCGGATATTCCATCTTCTAAGCACCGGTGGCTCCAACCATGGGAGAAGGCTTGGTGCCCGCTTCTGTTTCTTCCATCACAGACAGCAACACTCTATTAGCTGCTGCTGCCGCTTCTTCTGTAGCTGTTGCCGAGAATGTTGCCTAGCGACCGTGTTCCATGATGTTGTAACTTTCCTTTCTGGGACGCACAGCATCACACGCGTGTTTGGTTTCTTCCTTTGGCAAATGTTTTTCTCCTCCCACCTCTTCCTCTTCCCTCTTCTTCTTCTCTCCACCTCACCTCTCTCGCTTCCCCTCCCACCACCCATTCTTTTTTTTTCTCTTCGTCCCTCTACCCTCGATCCTCGTGTCTTCCTATCCTGTTTGTTAATATTTCTGGTTCGAATCTGCCTCCAGAGAGTATTTGTCTAAGAATCTTGTGCAAGAAGGCCTCTCAGTCGTTGCTGTTGAAGCTATAATTCAAAAGGTCAGTAATCTCCTTCCTTGGATCACCCGAATCCCCAGGCTGCTTCTATCTCTGTTTTCACGCGTCTTGAAATCCCTTGATTGCTTCTTCAGCCATTGTTTACTCTCCTTGAGCGCCTGGCTGCATCACTCAGCGTTGACGGCGTGGCTGCCTTCGCGTGGGCCAGCCTTCAATTAGTTGTCCTTTTTTGCCTGTTCTTCCACGAGTTTATCATCTTGGTGCAGTGGCACTTGTTTCCTATGCTGAGGCAAATTTTCATACCTCTTTTCATGGGCTGAGGGCCTCTGCCTCCCATTATCTGCAGTGAGAAGGTGGCAATGGTGTCGTGACGCTATCTCTTTACTTGACATTCCTTAAGTTGGCAATGTTGATTACCCCGGAATTTGTTTTGAAACTCCCTGGACTGTATGCGGCCGACATTGACTGCGCCGAGCTTGTGGGCCCTTCTTTTGAAGGATATTCTTTAACCGGATTATACACGCGTTGTGTTTTCGACCCGAGTTGGGTTCAGGCGTCAGAAGGTTATTTCCACAGGCAATTGTTAACGGGTTTCCATTAGGCCATACAAATCGTTTTCCAAGTCTCATGACGGGCGCAGCGAAACGTCGCCGCCAGAAGGCCGGTGCAAAACAAGAACAATATAACGGTCCATCAAACCAGGGACCTTCGTCTCCCCGTGGGCGCCAGCCGGCTCCGTCTAGCATTTCAGGAGTGATCGCCCCTCGGGGTGATTCCCCTTTGCCTTCTCCGCGTATCAAGTCACCAACTCCAGGTGGAGATGTCGGCCCGGGTCCTCTTAGCCCGCGAAGTAATGTTCAAAGCCCCGGTAGGCAATTGGTCGACCCTGCTCGTGATCCCGATATGTGCCGTAGCATGGATTTTTTAAATGTTGCTTCTGTAAGTGTATTTCCCCTTTTATATCGAACAGCATCACGCGCATGTCGAATGCTTTAAACGTGGCACCCTTTGGTTGTTGAAGATGTTTGACACCATATTCTCTCATACCGTCTGCTTGCTTTTTGATATGACCGTTCATGTTTCAGAGCTTAAACTCCGAACTCCCACTAGTCTGTGACTTTCTTTTTTTTATTCCTTTCTTCTTTCGGCTTACCACAGTTTTCACTATTTCTTATCCTTGAAAGTGGAAGCTTGAGTTTCATCTTTTCGCGATTACTGGTTCCCTTCCTCATTATACTTTCACTTTGGCCAATACTTCACTTCAACCCACCGGCATCATCCTCAAAAAGAGGCCCCGATTATTTACATTCACGTTCTTGCTGCTAATCTCACCCTTTATTTCTTTCACTTGAATCTCTCGGTTACTCGTTTCTTGCTCACCTGATCTCAGCTCTCAGCATAAAAAGGCTCTTCTCTCTCTCCTGCTTTCTCTTCCCTTCTTACTCTCTTCTCTTCTCGCATCGCCATCAAGCAGCTTGAGACCCCTCGCATCCCACCCTTGCCCTTGCCCTTGCCTGCAGCTCGCTCGAATATATCTACGTTTTTTGAGATATCTTTTGATATATTCAGCTATCTATCGCTTTGCTTGCCTCTTTGACCCTCCGCGATCCCCTCACAATGTCCAAAAACATGGCTCCAAAAGGACAGAAACCAAAATCTTCTAAAGAAGACGATGCTCCTTTTTACCTGCGCAACATTACATTCTATGAAACTGACCCTGACAAGTATTTCGAAAACATATCCCTCGTCAAACGGCCAGGGTTCAATACCACTGGAAAAGAAATAGCATTGTCTATCAATTCCTATCCGATAGTGCAATTTCCGAATAAGACCGTATACCAATACGACGTAAGTCTCAATCTCATATCTAATGCTGATGTCCCAGCTCACGTTTTCTTAGGTTCTCATTGGAAATGGCGCGGAAAAGCGTGCTCTTCTGGACAAGGTCTGGAATTCCAAGGTCAGGAAAGAGAAACTTGGAAAATATTGGATTTTTGATGGTAATAAGCTGGCATGGTGAGGCACCCCTGATCTAGAACCGACGGACATCTACTCACTATGACTCAGGTCCACTACGAAATTGAGTCAAGATTTAAATGTCGTTATCGACCTAGACGTTGATGCAGGCCGTCTAGACTCGAAGAGAGCGAATGCTTTTCGTTTAGTTGTGCGTCCAACTAAAAAGATTAATCTCGCAATACTCGATGAATATGTTCGTGGAACTATTCCTCTAAAAGATGATGCCCAAGAAGCTTTCAGTAAGTCATACCTCTAATCATCTCATTCTCCGCGTAACTCAAATTCGTTAGATTTCCTTGACCATCTTTTACGTGAAACCCCCAGTAGGACATTTATTCCAGTCAAACGGTCGTTTTTTTCAGAGGACAACCCGAAATTTGACCTTGGCGGGGGCGTTTTTGCCTACAAGGGAATTTATCAAGCCATTCGTGCAGTTCATGTAAGGATTCTCCCTGAATTATCTTGATCAAAATATCATGTACTAACTTTGCCTATAGCCTGGAAGGTTGGCTGTAAACGTTGATGTTTCTAATTCGTGCTTTTGGTCGCTTTATTCTTTGGTCGGCCTAGCTATTGGTATTATGGATCTTCGAGACGTGCAACAGTTGATTCATTATTCCAAGCCGGTTGTGGACCCATGTGGAGGACATCAACCTTCAAAACAATTCCACTTGCTCGATCGGTTGCACAAGCTCAGAGTTAGAGCAAACTATCGTGGCTGCCCATGCCTTGATAAGGAATGGACTGTCAAGGAGTTTCTTCTTGTCAACGCCAAGCAATATAAATTTGACGTCAAGGACCATGCGACCGGTACATCTCGAACGATGAATATTTACGATTACTTCAAGGAGAAGTACAATATTATTCTGGACTACTGGCAACTTCCTGTTGTTCAAATGACCAAAGGAAAGGTCGTCTACCCAATGGAGCTACTTGCAGTTTACCGCGCACAAAAATATCCTTTCAAGCTCAACGAGTTTCAGACTGCCCAAATGATCAAATTTGCGGTTTCCAGGCCATCAGAAAGACGACAGGCAATAGAACGTTGCAAAAAGAATCTTCGCCATCCTGAAGATGACGTACTCAAGGAGTACGGCCTTAAAGTTGCCGACTCCATGGTGAGAACCAAGGCTCGACTTCTTCCAAATCCGGAGATACTTTTCGGAGGTAATCAGAAATTCAACCCTGGAACAAACGGTCGCTGGGACTTGCGTGGGAAAAAGTTTTACCTGCCAAACAGTAAACCATTGAAATCATGGGGCATTGGATTCTTCAAAGGTCGACATCCTATCAGCGGACCTCAGATCGAAGCCTTTTGCGACAATTTTGTTAGAACATATCAAGGCCATGGCGGCATTGTGGAGACTAAGCGACCCGTCATTATGGAGCTTCCCCAGGATCCAGCGAAAGCAGTTTATGAACTGTTCAACGCAGTCGGTAACAAATACAATCAACGACCACAAATTCTTATTCTTGTGGTTCAAGACAAGCAGAGCTTCCACTACTTGCGCATCAAGAAGTCTTGTGACTGTCGTTTTGGGGTCCCTTCTCAAGTACTTCAAGGACAACAAGTTGTCAAAGGGAGCCCGCAATACATCTCAAATGTGCTAATGAAAGTCAATGCAAAACTTGGTGGAACTACTGCAAGGGCAATTTCCAAATACAACCCGTCTCTGCCACCGTATACAATGGTGATAGGCGCCGACGTTTCCCATGCTTCTCCTGGCAGTCATGCACCAAGTATGGCATCGTTCACTGTCTGTATGGACACATTTGGTGGCCGATACAATGCAGGTTGCGAAACAAATGGCGAACGCCGTGAAATTATTAGTCCCGCCAACATCCGAGACATCCTGGGACCCTTGATTCGCGAATGGGTCATGAATATTGGGAAAGGTCGCAATCCTCAGAACCTTTACTACTTCCGAGACGGTGTATCTGAGGGGCAGCAGCAACACGTTCTCCAGCGTGAGATCCGACATATCAAGGATATTTTCAAGGATATCGCCATGGGAAAAGAGTGGGAAGGAAAAGTCACCGTTGTTATTTGCTCAAAGAGGCATCATATTCGAGCGTTCCCAGAGCCAAATGACCGTAATGCCGCTGACAAAAATGGCAATCCGCTCCCTGGGACATTGGTTGAAAAAGATGTGACAAACCCACATGGCTACGACTTTTTCTTGTGGTCACACATCGCACTCCAAGGCACTTCTCGCCCTGTGCATTACCAGGTTCTCATAGACGAAATTGGCAGCTCTCCCAATCAACTCCAAAATATGATATACGAGCACTGCTACCAATACATGCGCTCAACAACCTCAGTATCTTTATGTAAGTCAATCTCTAACGATCTTGAAACCTCCAGACTAATATATTTTGATCTTAGTCCCTGCAGTTTATTACGCGCATCTTGCTTCCAACCGCGCACGATCTCATGAGAATGTTCCGTCAAGCTCAGGTCCGCAGTCAGGGCCCGGTGTTAAAATGAATCGTCCACCACAGCAAGGGCCAAGGCCGGTTGAGGCTCCTCCTTTGCTGCCAATGCCTGAAGCAGACAGACTTGGTTACAAAGTGTGGTACATTTAATTCACAATAAGTTTGATTGCCAGTTTGCGCCCAGACCTCCCTTTCCTTGACAGATGACAATGGCTGAATTACCTATCATGAAACCGGGTCAACAAGTTCGCTATTTTCTGTCATTCTAATAGGACTGGATATCGCGACGGACAATTACGAGACGGGACTTGATTTCTTTAGTACTGGAAGACGGGGTTGGGCATGCTACAGGATTTACCCTCGTGATTTCTTATTGATTCTGTGACATGCCTTTCCTGTTAAAGTTCATAGGCGGCACCCAGTCGATGGCTGCTAAGATTTTTTAGTAGTCTACTTTCAACTAATAGAAATCTCAATTTGCTTCCTAGAAAACTACGCGTAGTTTCCCTGCCCGAAGAGGTAGACACTCTCCGATAAGTTTGATAGGATATTGCATCAAGTATACCGACATAATCATGTCAACCACAGCGTATTAAACACCAGAAGAAGCATTGTAATCAGGCCTCAGCCGCTCTTTACAAGTGAGCTAAGGACACTTCCATAAACGCACTGACTCCATCCCCGGAAACCAATTCAAATTGGGCAAAACTGGCAGCCCTGGAATTGATGCATGGACTTCAAGCTCCCCCGTTCTTGTGACCTTTAGTCCTTTGGTTATCGGCTCTTCTCGGGCGTGTAGTTTTATGCAGCTTTGATAGACTTGTACTATAATCTACTAGAACCTAACCGTTCTCTCTTCAACCTTTACTGCAGGGTCAAATGAGGGAGAATGTGCTTCCGAGTCTTCCCACCACATAGAAGCTGTAGGCTTCTATGCGCGATTGGTCCTCACCTTAAGTTTTAACATGAATGACCAACCCGTTATTTCATGTTATGGATAATATGCAATATTTATATCTTAGCGGCTGAGAATGAGCAGCCCCAAATCCCCGAAGCTCATTCTCACTAATACCCTTCTCGGAATAATGAGATATGGCGTGTCCCCTTTCACTTCCGGAACGCCCGTTTCTCAGCTATCTTTCATGGGCCACAGTTCTCCGCGTGCAACCTTCGAAATGGGTGGTCGTGACATCATTGACACGACGACGCCGGGTATAAAAGATGTCAACTAGTAGGCTAGCAGGTCTGTTACAACCGTCGATATATCTTCCTCTCAAATCTTCCTTCCTTGAGACTTCACTGGTCTTCGGTAGCAGGGCATTCCGGATACGGGGTATCTTTCTCGCTGTCCAAAACCTTTCTCGAATCAACAATGGGCAACTATTTTTCCCGCAACAAAGAGCTTGTCATCAACCCATACGTCGGCAGCGGTCGGGGCGATGAATTCCGCGAGATCCGCACAAACGCAGCTGTGTTGTCAATTCAAGCATGGGAGGACACCATGCCCGGTGGCCATTGTGGCGTAAAGGCACTCGAGGTACAATGGAGCGACGGACACACGGTACGAATTGGAGAAGAGAAAGGCGAGTCAAAGTTGCTTTTCATTGAAAAGGGGGAGAGAGTTGAGCACATGGTTATTGGAGCCGGAGATTTACGTCGACTCTATTCGGATCAAGACTACGGATAAAGAATGGAAAGTTGGAGGAAGCGGGAGGCAAGTTGACAAACATGAAGGTTGGGAACGGGATTCTTGTTGGGTTTGTGGGTAGAAAGGGGCACGATCTTGACGCTTTAGGCGGTGTTTTTGAAAGGTGAAGGGCTGTATGTATTCTGGACAAACGGCTGCTTTGGTAAGGGACTGACGGTCGTCATATCATTCTTGTTTGTTTTGTGCTGGTGCTGAGATAGCTTTGTAGGTTTCACATGGCAAGGCGTTGGATGTGGTTTTCATGGTTCCTGCAGTAAACCTGTCGACATTGAGAAACTGAGTCCGAAACTATCTGGCGCTGTGCAACAGACGGCGACATTGCGGGCAAGTCGTTGTTCGAAATGGTTATAATTTCAAAATAAGGATATAAAAGCAAAGGATTGTACATTAAATACTTTATTAGACACACAGAAAGTAACAAAGCACACAACCGCAGGGAATCAAAAATACATACGGAGCATGCCTGTGCCCAATAATCTTGCAAACGTCGCACAAGAAGTACAAAATTGCAGTGTAAAAGGAGTCCAATATTACCTTCAGTAAAAGCATAAAGGGGTAACAAATGCACTTTGACAAAGACGCCCTGAAACCCGAGCCCGATAATCCCTTTCTCCCTGGTCGTATCCAAACTAAACCAAAGCCGCCCCGATGCATTCAGATGAGTCAAGTCTTTGAAGAATATAATCACACATTGGAGAAAGGGAGCAAAATACAAAAAAAAAAGGTCCAGTGAAGCAATTGTCGCTTCATCATCAAGGGTATAGGGAAACAGAAGGAGAACAGGCATGCCAAATGTATATGGTTGCTCGTCAAAATGATTGTAAAATCAATCGCGTACGGAGTAGACACTCGCGGTTCGGCGACTAAGCGGTTCAATATTCAAATGGTCAAAAACGGTACTAGTAGTCGGATTGAAATTGAGCTGGTGTTTTGATCAGGTATCCTTCCCAATATTATTCGCGAAGCGCTCGAACGTGATTGGTAAAGGTTGAGGTTTAGATGTGGCCGTTTACGGCGGCAGAGCGAGCGACTGCCGTGACAGAGGAATTTGCTGCAGGTCCGTTGACGTTGCTGGTATCGTCAATCTCCATTCGGTCGTCATTGGCTGGATTATTTGATACTTCCCCGGAATTGTTAACGCCGTCTACGGTTTTGGCATCGTTTTGTTGGCTGGTAGCGGTTTCGTTTTCCTTAACGCCGTTTAATTTAGATGCCATCATAGCTTTCGTGGGATTGTTGGCATTAGTAGCAATATCAGCGCCCTTTGAACCCGAAATACCAAGCCCAGTGCCAGGATTTTTCTTGGCCTTCTTTTTGCTGGGTTCAGCAAGTTCGGACTTTATAGCAGTAATCCCAGACGACGGCGGTGCGGGTCGTTTTTGGGGACTGGTGGTTACTCCCTGGTTAGATGGCGGCACAATCTTTCCTGACGCCGGAACTCGAGGTCTTGTTGCATTGGGCCGTTGCTTTGGCGGCAACTCTAAATCTTCCACCAGAGGCTCGTCGTTGTTGGCGTGCAACTTTGCTAAAAAGAAATTCTGAACCAAGCCAATGTGCTGTGGGAGTGTTTGTAGTGAGATGCGTGGATAGGGAGGGGGAGTAGGGAATAGGGTAGATGTTGTTTGCGAAGAGCTTTGAACAGGTCAGTATGGCTGAATAGACAAGATTAGGTCGGGGCAAACAAAGATAGCATACCTTAAGTTTTGGGCTTGATGCGCATGATACATCCGGTTCTGGAGGAGATGCAAAGGAACGCTCAAGCTCGACAGTCCAAATTCCCTATCAAGGCCAAGTTCCTTGAATCCGAAGAAATCTTCGTCGATATCCTCTGCAAAATCACCGCCTATGAATTGCTCGCTTCCATCATTGAAAGCGCTCGAACCGTCGCCCACTGGCGTCATTGAAAGCTGGTCTTAGCAACTCTGCGAGATGTGCCTTAAGTCGGTCGTGAATGCCACCAAGTTTTGCTCCATGCCGCTCAGTGTCGTCCTTAACATAAGATTCAAGTGATTCTACATCTGTCCCGACTGCCTGGAGCGTATGCAGAATCATTTGTTCTTGAGTGTAAGCGTGTTTCCATTGTTGGTCTGATGAGGAAGTTGAAGCCTGCTCGGTCTTGGGAAGTTTCGGGGATTCCATGTAACCTTTAAGTGTTGCGCCGATTTTAAAGAAAAAATCTGCCGCGACGTCTGTAATGGCATCCAGGGCGGATGGTTGGTATTCTTCAAAACCGGTGTGATAAAGGACCTTTGCAACTGATCGCTGAAAGGCGGCCCTGCAAACCCAGGGACTGATCACTGGACCTTCATCATTCATTACATGCGGGAGCACATCTTGCTCGACGAGAGGTTCTGGCTGATACTTCTGGAACTGATTTTGGTACATCTGGTGGAGAATATCAGATTCGATCCATCTAAAAACAGAGCAAATGGGAAGCTTACCTGTGACTGTTGCTGCATTTGTTTGACAATACCTATTTTTGAACATATCTTTCTCGTTTCTTGCATTTGTTTCATGTTGGCATCCATTTTCTTTGAAAATTTACTGGCAGGCGCTGTGAATAACCCTTTGGGCAGGATTCTTAAAAATTCTTCAGAGGTTTCGATAACATTTCCCTCGGAGTCCTCTTTCCACTGCAAATGTTTTGGAAGGTCTGGAAGCGCTGACATCAAGTCATAATAGTCTGGAAGCATTTGATCTTCCTCTTCGTCAATGCCTTCGGCAAACGTCTCGCCAGTTGTTTCGGGTTCGTTCATCGGATGACTACCGTTGACATGTTTATCGTCGTTTGACGCCTCTAGCTGGTTTCTAAGCCACCGTCTCATGCCAACTTTCGTCCGTAGAAGGGCCGGTTCGTCAGGATTTAATTTGTCACCTTTAAGAAGTCTGTGCCGTTCGGCAGCCACAAGAGCGCGATCTTTCTTCGTAACCTGCTTCCAGATCTTGTATTCGGGGTCCTCGAACTCGATGGCTAAACCAGACAATGCACTATTATAAACCGGAACCGGAAGGCCGAAGTTGTCCATATCCATAGCATCCATTTGACTCCCAGTCGCAGCAACGCCCTGGCCATTTGATGTAAGCGGCGTCAAAGTTCCAGGAGGAGGTGTTGACAATGTGCCCGGAATGCCATCCGTGGCTGAATCCTGAGTTACACTCGCAGAATCGGATGGTTGGGTTTTAATATCAGAGGAGGCTGCTTCAGGGCCTTTTGCAGGAGCCTTGCGTCCAGTTGCAGCACCCTTTTTACCTTTTGTTGCCGTTGCCTTCCGCCCTCTAGATGACATGATTGGTTCATCGTCACTTTCCTCGCCGCCGTCAAGTTCAGCAAGTTGAAGCCTGCGTTCCTCCGCTTCAACCTCTGCACGATCTCTAATCACGATGTCGGGGATTAAAGGCACAAGCTTTTCTGTCTCTTTTCTCATGTAAAGGGCGTGTTTTCGGAGAAAATGCTCGGGATTGGTGTTATACTTTAAGCAGTTGGACCATATCAAGTTAAGATCCTCCACAAAGTCTTGCTTCGACTTGTATTGGAGAGCCTTTAGTTTTTTGGTCATGGAGCCTAGATCCATAGGCCGCTTGATAACTATGACTTGGTATTAGTGCTTGTGTGTAGTTGCCCCAAAGGGGAACAGTAACATACTATTGTAATAGTCCGGCGCATCCCTCTTATTCACTCGGGTTAAGAAAGCGCTGGAGTGTTCAGTCATCGCTTTGAGTTCGCTCAGTACTTTCTCCGCGGCTTCGTAGAGTTCCTCTTGTCCAATCTTGTCTTCGCTTGCCCACTTGCTACGGTTCTTCCTGACTTCACTCATTAAACTGCGCAATTCAGCATCTGAAGCTTGGACCTCACTGCGCTTCATATCGATCCGCGCAATGAGGTTCTTCAGGGTTAAGCTTGAAGCTCCTAGGTTGGCACTGCTTAATGAACCGTAGCCAGGCTGCCCGTTGGCAGCATTGGCATCGTTCCCACTCTGACCGCGCATTTCCGCCTCAACTTGTCTTTCCGACTCTTCCAATCTCTGTTGGTCTAACATAGCATCGCGGTCATTCTCCAAGGTGTAAAACATGGTGCGAAAGCTCCTTTTTGCTGCTTCTTCTGTTTCCTTTTTATCCTGCTCTAATTTTTTCCTAATATCTTCTAGCGAGTCCTTTTTCTGGTCTTTTTGATTCTCTGAGCTCGGGGTTCGAGACGGTTTCGGTGGAGATGATGGTAGGGCTTTGATTTCGGCGGGAGGTGTCGATTTAGATTTAGGCGAAGGAGGGTGAGGACCACCGTCATCGTCCTCGTCATCATCATATTCATCGTAGTCGTCTTCATCCATTTTCCTTGCAGCCCGCCGTGGTGGAACCGGGGTCGTAGCTTTTTCAGGTTCGGCGGGAGCTTGCTCGGGTTCGGCATTAGAGGCGGAAACATCCAAAACCCTCTTATGGCTGAATAACCAATTTATTTTTGCCTCGGTGCGCTTATATCCCTCTCTAAAGGCGATAACACGAGTATCTTCTTCCGGCGTGGGATCGATATCTGGTATCGGGTTTCCGCTTTGGGAGCTCTCTGCGTTTGCGCGGGAAGCTATTTGGGGGGTGCGGGGCCGGGAGGGGCCGTTTGGCAGGCCATTGGTAGGGGGAAGCGCATTATGCTGATTGTCCGGAGGGCGCAAATGCCCTGGAGGGAGCCAGGCGTAGTGTTGGTTGAGCGACATGGTCGCACTGAACCCGCTGTGCTGGGCGGGCGAGGGGGTTGCCCTCCAGCTGTTGAGCCCACCTCAGCGGAGGACAATCTGGGCGTTTGGACCGGGAAAAAGTGGCATAAGGTAGAATATCAAGCTGTAATAACCGCTCCGGAGCTGAATCCGAAGCGAAAATCGATGGATGTGGTGAGTTATCGATGGCTGAGAGTGAGACTCTTTTGGTGGAGATTCTTTGCGGAGGTGGAAAGTCATAAGGTTGCCCAGACAGACCATTCTGAACCGAGTAAGTCACGGGATCTGGGGAAAGCCAGACAGCTTCAGTGAACGGTGCTCACGGAACACGAACAGGCTGGCAGAGCGGCGTCCATGGAGCTGGTTGCTTTATGGCGATGAATAGAGGAACTGCATGCGTTCAAATCAGCATATGGAGGACGGTTTAATTCTTGTTATGTGACGTCGCTGATCATTTGTTGCTTCAAACAACACCAACAGACCATCTACAACATCTATTCAAATCCGCTCATGAACATAAAGGAAACAAAGCTGGAATACTGGAAAATTGTGATTTGACGGTACTTTAACAGCTCAGCATGCGCATCAGATACCCCTTTGCAGGTATGTCCCAGGTCCATCTCAGCTCCGCTATGATCTCCCTTGACAAAAACCTAGGCAGCTTGTTCACTGCTAACTGTGGATGTTTAACCAGGGGCCTTCCTTATCCTCCTACTCCTCTCTGCATACATCAACCTCGCTCCTCATACCGAACCGAAAAAGGGAGACACGACAATCCCACCGTCACTCCAGCCCAATGACAAACTCCTCCACTTTGTCACTTTCTTCATCCTCTCCGTCGCATTCTACTGGATCCTGGACACGACGCGCCGGCGAACACTCCATCTAAGCGTCATTGTCTGTACGCTGGTGCTCGGTATTGGCTCTGAGATCATACAATCTCTGACTCCAAACGGCCGTTCTTTCGACCCGTTCGACATCCTTGCTAATATAATCGGCAGCCTGGCCGCTGTGGGGCTGTGCACATGGTATCATAAGCGGATGTTGGAGCGGAAGAGAAAGTCCCGCTTCGGAGGCTTGTTGAACGACGGGGCTGGGGAAGAGGACATTGAGTTAGGTACTGGTGGCCCCGATCATGTCGAGGAGCTTGGTCCCCAGGAGACAGGCGTTACAAGTACGAGAACATTGGAACAGGAGGTTGATAATTGGGATGAGAATGCTGTCGATAACTGGGATGAGGAGGATGGCGAGAATAACCCTACCGGAGGCGAAGATTCATTGAAACCAGCTCATGGAAAGGATGATGTGAAATTACGAAACGATTGAGATCTACAGGCATGACGCTGATATGAGGATGATGAACTATCATGTATACTTAAAATTTGCTCTGAGTTTGATTTCTTGCCCTTAGGTCATCCAATACGGTCTGTTATAACTAGCATGTAGCGTCTCGGTGAAAATTGGTTGGAATCTGGAGTATCAGCAAAGGTATAAACGGTTGAAATTAGTTACTTATAATAACATGACAGGCTCGCTTTTCATGATGAAGATATCAAATAGACTACGTGATGATCAAGAATAGCTTCACAGCTGGTCAATAGCATTCGCTGCACGCAGCAAAAGCATTGGAGCAAACAATCAACGCTATGTACTACTTTTGCCTCCAGTAAGGAGTTAAATCATGATCGAATATGGACTATGAACAATAAAATCTCATGTAAAACTTGGAAAGATGCTTGCAGGAAAGAAGAACCGATTTTTTAGCCCCAGTGAAATGTATGAATGCCCAATAACCTTACACAAGAGCCCCCCAGAAATCATAAATCAAAGACTAATACAAACTATCGGAATGCGATCAAGAATTATTTGGCCAAAACCCAGTGTGGATTGCCATGGGAAGCCTTGAGTTGTCCGCAGCGGCGTCCGTTATCCCTCAAAAAATTTCGAATACTTTCAATCAATGATAGGCTCCAGTTCGCCTTTTGTATTTGTTTCCGCGAGAGTATCTTCGTCCGTGGCATCGTTTGCATCAGTAGAGGTGTCAGTCACACCTTTCTTTCCAAGGACAGCATAGGTCTGTTCCTTTAAGACGTCGTAAATGAATTGATATTGAACGTCATTGTACACCATCATCATCCGCTGTTCTCGCAACTGGTTCACCGTATCGAAAACGGTGTCGGCAGTGTCATTAGCTACATTCAGTAGATGGCCGTTTTTTAATTCTCTCAAGAGGTGATCTAGGGCAATAAATGTTCCGGTCCTACCAACGCCCGCGCTGCAATGGACAATTCTCGGGTTGTCACAGGACGCTGCTTTTTCGGCGGTGACTTTGGTCAACTTGATGAGCGCATCGCGATACTGACCCTCGGGCTTTGCATAATCAGACCAGCCGGCGAAGAGGTAATGCCAAACAGTTTTTGACTCCGAACCAACGTCCAGTTTGAGCTTGCGAACTTCTGAGCAGCAGGACTCATCATAGGAATATTCCAAAAGTGTAATGGACCCAGAAAGGTCAGTGAATACAGACTCATCCTCCTTGTGGTCGATGAACGGATCCGAATCAACGGGAGAGAACTGAAACGTAGGCACTTCCATATTCAATGGGAAATATTGTGCACATTTTTCTCTGCCGGATTCGAAAGTTTGGGTGAGCATTACTACTACCGCCACTTCTCCTGACTCGTGAAAAATCATATTCCAAAAATGTGAGAGGTGACCGTTTTTGGGTCCCTATAAGATAATGACGTTAGAAAGAAGTCGCATAAACGACCAGAGGCAAGACTGACCTGGGTTGCAATATAGCGAACGGCTTCCTGGGTTTTAGTATCCTTCAACTCAATTGGAGAGGCGTTGATAAAATCGCATTCACCCGGGGGAACTTTGAGGTGGATCCGAGAATTTGCCCATGCCTGAACGTTGGCGTAGCGACTTCTTTCCCTTATAACGGGGTTTGATTCCAATGCCCACTTGTGGGAAGGATCTCCAGCTAGAAGCCCTGCCGATATCCGGCTTCGTTGGAGCCATTCAAGCTCTTCGAACTTTGAGCGCAGCTCTGTGCGGTTTTCCAAGCTCTTGTCAGCTAGCATATCAAACAGCTAAGATGACTCTAACCGGAGACTCACCGGAGTAGGACTGGGTCAAAAATGGAGGGACAGTAGCAGTGACGACGCCTCCTTCGACACTGCTTTCCCTGCTGCTCACATCTAGGGCTGCGACCGAACCTCCATTGACGGACGACCTGCTATCTGCAGACCGTTGACGCTTACCAAGGGTTTGTGACAAACGCACTTCCGACATCTTGGCGGTTGCAATCCGGCGAAAGCTCCGGGCCTGCTTCATAAAGCGCCGAACGCTGCCTTGGACGCCCTTAGGCTTAAAGCATGGGGATGACCGAACGCTGCCAGAGAGGCTAGAGGTCTCGGATGGGGCACTGCTCTGTGCTTTGCTGGGGTCAGAAGTTGAAGTGGGCGGGACTAGGTCTGTTGCGCTCAATGACGGCAGATCTGGACAACTGGCGGAGCCGTCCTGCACAGGTTTGGGGGCCAGATTCACAGCACTCGCAAAAGCGAGTCAGCATGTGTGATTTGAGAGTAGATGCATAGATACTGATGCAAACCAACACAGCAACGCAGGAGAGGAGGAAGAACACACTGCATGAGGTGAAGGCGAGAATATCCAAGGAGATGATTTCCCAAAAAATCTCTTTATATATAATTATTCAATGCCGAGACGAACTATCACACCTTGAATGGAAGGTTCCAAGCGTGAACAACCATCATTTTTCTGTTTGGAAAAGAAAGCGTGCTTTTTTGAAGGAGAATTGAACCCTGGACTGGGGAGCTTGTCCCGCACTCTGACAACCGGCGGTTATCCCTTTCTTTGAAGCCCGGAGGTCCAGAAAATCCCCCAGGAAAATTGGTGGCCTGGACAGCTGAAGAGTGACTTGTGTACAGTGGGGAAGTATTGGGTGAAGGGCAGACCCAGACTGTTTGAGAAACGCAAGGAAAAAGAGGGACACCAGATGGCATCAGACCAATGACACCCCAAAACACCGCTGCGATCGCAGACTCTCATCAAGTTGGGCGGCAACAAGAAGCGAGGATCTGGCGGAGTGACTTTTTCTGGCCGCCAGCTGCCCTCCCGCCACACTCGCTCGCCACACTTCACCACAAGCCACACTCCCTTGGCACTCTCCCACAACAAACGTCGCTTTTGCTTCTTTCTCTCCATTCTCAGTTCTGCGGGTCACCAGCAGTGAATTTCGCTCTTGCAACAGGCAGCAAGGCTCCGGCAAGGCTCTCTTCCACGGTTGCTGGATGTCTCTGGGCAAATATGCAATGACTAGTCCGTAAAATGTGGCTTCGCATTTTCGAAGTATGTCACGTCTGCACGTTGGGATTCACACCTCCAGGTTGCGGTTCTGACTTCCACTCCTAGATTTGGCTGACTGGCAGGGTATGTGGCCCATAGCCACGCCTAGTTTGTGGTCTTGCCTACTTACCGTCAGCAGCTGTTAGCCAGTCCAGCTTTCCATCGAGCTGTGCGTCGGGTGCATAAGTCAATTCATGAGCTCCGCCACGGCAAAGCACCGGAGGATATGGGAGGAACAAACATTGATAGTGAGCAGAGCCCTTGATGGTGCGGGAGTCGCGATTGGTCAGACACAAGTACTAACGTTTGTCTTCTTCATCGCAGAACCTGGTGTCAAATATTACCTCCGGTTATTCCGAGAGGAATTAAAAGATCAGCTGCGAGGCGGACCAAGGAAATAGCCTTGTCTACGTGATAGACGAATAACTATTAGCCCCTTGTTGTCCTGGGTTCGTAGTCAGTATAGATAACACTCTTGAGCTGGACTCCTTCGCCACCGTTAAAAATCAATCCTTTGCCAACGGATCTGTTTGGGTTGCATGGGCCTTATCCTACGGTTTGCATCCTTCATTCCATCCGGAGAGAAAGTAGTTACTTCCTTGACTCTGTTTTTGCGGCGGACATGTACATACATACATTCACCGTGTTCGATTGCTCGTCTCCAAGGAAGCCTACATATCCCCTCCAAATACGGTTACTGCCCTTTAGATAGTCACTTAGGTCGCTTTAGCTCTCGATCATCTCAAATATATTGTTTTCTCAAATGCCGCTCATGTAACCGCACATTTGCATTCTGATATTCCTTTTGCAGCAATGGAGACTCGAGGACCGACTGTATCACGTGACATTGCCTTTTCACCTGAAGCTTAATAAGCATTTTTTTTCTGGAGATGGGATACCGACGGCTCAGTAGGAGAAGAGAATAGTTCGTGCAATTCGTTACCATGCCGCGGGAGAAGCAGAAGCGAGGGCGCCGAGCAGAGGCCAAAAAGGAAAGGGAGAACTCTAAGCGAAAGCGGGAATACGATAACGCTGATACCGAAGCCACGAAGCGACCAAAAGTGCAAGACGACGAGACCTACGCAGCGCCGGTGCACCAGGAAAATGCGTTTGGAAACGGAGATGATTATATCCCTCTCGAAGATGGCGCTGCTCCGGTTGACGATACGCCGTTTTACGGATTATTAGATTCAGACGAGCAGGAATATTTCTCGCGTGCAAGCCAGACCTTGGAACTAAACCAATTTGAGAACGATGAAGACCGAAGAACCTTCATTGACAGTGTGTTGGAGGAAGCAAACGGGAAAGAATTGAAAATCGCGTGCAGCCAGTCCTGTTCGCGGCTCATGGAGAAGTTGATCTCCATGTCGAGCGCGAGCCAGCTTAAGCATCTGTTTGGCAAGTTTACCGGGCATTTCCTGCATCTCGTTCAGCACCGGTTCGCCAGCCATTGCTGTGAACGGCTGTTTTTACGTGCCGCGCCCATCGTTGCGTACGAGACGAAACCTCGAACGAAGAAGCAAGCAGATGTGGAAGAGGACAAGATTGACGGGCAACCGGTTTCGAATTTGCCAATGGCGGATCTAGTGTTGAATGCGATATCGGAACTTGAGGGGAACTGGGGGTACCTGCTCACCGAATCTTTCGCATCCCATACTATCAGGGTGTTACTTTTGATCTTGGCCGGTGAACCATTGGATAACGCTTCGAACGTTGCGATGATTGCCAGCCAAAAAAAGGAGAACGTGGAATCTCTAAAATCAAGGTCCCAGCCAGAACCTTCGTCGGCAGAGAAACGTGATGTTCCCCCGGTATTTAAAGCAGCCTTAGAAAAGATGATAAATGACCTGATCACCGGCTTGGATTCAACCTATTTACGTGCTTTGGCAACGCATCCAGTCGGCTCACCGGTTCTCCAGGTTCTCCTAACGGTCGAGTTGACTCATCTTGGAAAAGATAGAGCAAAAGATCCGAATTCTGTTGTGCGTCGACTCATTCCAGATGATTCTCTAGAGGACACAGACAGCGCTACGTTTATAAATGGATTATTTTACGATCCCGTTGGCTCTCGCTTGCTAGAAACCTTGTTACGGTATGTCCCGGGCAAGTTCTTCAAGATGATATACAAGAGTATGATCCGCGAGCGAATTGGGTCTCTGTCTCGAAATGAAGTCGCATCATACGTCGTTGTCCGTGTCCTCGAGCGGCTTAGCAAGGAAGACTTGCAGGCTGCTATGGGGCTTATCCTGCGCGAGGTGCCTTCAATGGTTGAACGTTCAAGATTGAATGTTATTAAATCTTTAATAGAGAGGGGCAAGCTACGTGGAACAAACCTCACTCCTCTAGCTGATGCACTCAAATCGGCTTATGGAGCGGAATCTCTTTCGAGGCTCAAAAAGATTTTGAACCTGGACGAAGCAAGCAAGGAGGATCCCGCAAAAAGCGCAAGTAAGATATCTTCGCAGCAACTTCACGGTTCGCTTCTTGCCCAAGCAATGTTACAGGTTCCTGGACCTTTGGCAGAGATGATCCGGTCTAGCCTCCTTGAAGCACCGGTATCTACACTGTTGGACATTGCGAAAAACCCAACAGCTTCGCGCGTCCTTCAAGAATCGCTTACTGTCTCAAAGTCGACGAGCCAATTTCGTCGACAACTTATACCCAAATTTACCGGACATTTATGCGACCTCGCGTTACACACGAGCGGCTCTCATGTTGTTGACGCGCTATGGCAAGCAACCAGCGATCTCCTATTTCTTAAGCAGAGGCTAGCGGAAGAACTAGCCAATAACGAAGCGGCCTTACGTGATTCCTTTCTGGGACGAGCCATCTGGAGAAACTGGTCCATGGATTTATACAGGAGGAAACGAGGAGAATGGGTGTCTCGAGCTAAAGGGCTCGAAACAAAGGTAGCGGGCTCGGACCTATCCGACGAACAGGCCAAAAAACCAAAATCCAAGTTGGACTTGGCGAGAGAGCGATTTGCAGCTCAGGCTGGAGAAAAGGCGAAAAGAATGGAGATGGCATAGGCCGGGAAAAGCCACAGACCGAACGTGTCGCCGACGAACGGCCTCCTCACCGCATAGTGGCGGCCAAGATCAAACAGACCCCTGCGTCTTTGTCGAATGTCGCTTTACTGAATTGGGCGCTTTTTCATGGTGTTTCCGGTTGATTAATAAGGGATGCTGGGGTCTGGCAGCCCCTTTCAAAGCTAAGCCCCTCCTGATGCGCAAAAGCGCCAGAATTTTCGGCGTTTTCCCAGGGGTTCGGTGTGTTGATGAGCAGGTATAACTACGCCGTAGAGAGCAGGTAGATTAGCCAGGCGGCCCAGGCCTATGTAAATCTTATCGCCCGAGTGTGATGTCACCTCAACCATGCCCTTCTATTAGTAACATCATCCCGATAAATATCGCAACCGCCGAACTCTGTCAACTCGACATATTCTCGATCATCAGGCAGAATTGCGATCGAGTCTGTTCGTGCAGGTTGCGAAATAGTAGGCTTGTCTGTCAATCGAACATGGAGCGCGCAGACGAAGTCAGAAATGTAAGTAGAGGGCCGTGAGCCTATGATCACTTCCATACTTGTACTCGAAAGTGCTCTTGCGTTGACAATTCGCTAAGCAAATGCTGATAGCTGCCTCTGCTGTAGCTCCTCAATCCCGTGCAGGAACGGATCCTGCAGTTTATACAATCCGCAGACCAAGGCTCGCAGGCACTCGTGCAGAGACATGCGTCCAACGAGAGCGGTCCGTTCAAATCCGGATTGCTAGACCTGAAGAAGCCCACGGAGCTACAGGAGGAATTGCAGGTCGAACTTCCCGCGCACGGCCAAGGAGTAGACGGACTCCTTCAGGTTTTGGACAAGCTCCTTCGATACTCCGTGAATACTTGGCACCAGGGATTCCTGGACAAGCTCTATGCGTCGACGAATGCACCCGGGCTTGCCGCTGAGTTGATCATCGCTACCTTGAATACCAATGTCCATATATACCAAGTGGCTCCAGTCTTAACAATCATCGAGAAAACCACGGCGGCCCGCTTGGCGTCGCTCTTCGGCTTGACGGGACAATATGCTGGAGGAATATCGGCGCAGGGGGGCACGGCGTCGAACACAACCGCGATTGTGATCGCCCGGAACACTTTATTCCCAGAAACGAAAACAGAGGGCGTCAGCAACAACCAATTCGTCTTGTTCACAAGCGCGCATGGGCATTATAGCATTGAGAAGGCCGCGCAAATGCTTGGATTTGGCAGCAAGGCCGTTTGGCCCGTCCCTGTGGACGAGAAGGGGCAGATGATACCAGAAAAGCTTGATGAGCTCATCACGACCGCAAAGGAGCAGGGAAAGAAGCCATTCTTTGTCAATGCGACCGCCGGCACTACAGTAGTTGGTAGCTTTGACCCTCTACCGGAGATCCATCAAATTTGCCTAAAACATAACCTGTGGTTCCATGTTGATGCCTCATGGGGTGGCTCATTCATCTTTTCTAAAAAGCAAAGGAGCAAACTCAGAGGGTCTCACCTTGCTGATAGCATCACCTTTAATCCGCACAAAATGCTTGGTGTCCCGTTGACCTGTTCGTTCCTTTTGGCCGCGGACATCCGTCAGTTCCACCGTGCCAATACCCTTCCAGCAGGATATTTGTTCCATAATGAGGAGTATACAAACGGATTCTGGGACTTGGGAGATTTGACCTTGCAATGCGGTCGCCGTGCAGACTCCCTCAAATTATTCCTTAGCTGGATGTACTATGGGTCTGAGGGCTATGAACAGCAGATCGACTCTGCCTGCAGTATTGCAGAGCAACTTTCTACTCTCGTTGGTGCCTCGCCTCATCTCAAGCTTCTCACCGAGAATCCTCCTCCATGTCTCCAGGTTTGTTTCTACTACGCTCCTTTAGGCCGAATGGCCTACCCGCCGGAGCGGGAAATCAACGGCAAGAGGCTGAGCGAAGAAGAGCGAGCCAAACTCAACGGAAAAGTAACCGAAGAAGTTGTTCGGGAGCTTGTTGACCAAGGTTTCATGGTGGATTACGCGCCTCCAAGTGAAGACGATACATTTGCTAGAGATGGAAAGTTTTTCCGCTGTGTTGTTAACGTCCTTACGAAAAAGGAGACCATAGAGGCTCTTGTGGATATAATCGTTAAACTCGGATCAAAACTTGTCCAACGACAGTTGGGCTCAGAGTTGAAAGTGCCGACTGCGAGTGTCATGTCAGGATTTCAGCCAAAGAACCCTGCGGAAATGGGACACGGTCCAGTTGTTCATGGATAATAATTCCCACATTGTTTGGAGAGAGTCAAAAGTTAGGGTATTGTGTGTATGCTTTGAGAAGTGGGTATATATAATACATTGGTTCTTCAAGACTAAACAAGCAGCAGCTACAGCCATTTAGGTATGCCTGATATGGCCATTGTAGCACGTCAAACGTTTCATCCAAGTCCTGTAACATTCCGCGTTGTTTATCGACGATTCACGGCATCTGATGTAATATTAATGTTAACTTCGGAGTTCGACCCGCCTTTCCAACGCTGCCCTGGCTTGCGACTCTGATAGCATCTCGATTCCTAACTCTTTGAGTACTTCGCGAGCGCTTTCGTTGCTCGCAAAAAGTCTCTTTTCCACTTCCCAGAGGCTTGGGCTCGAAGGGGCGACTCCGACATTAGCTCCACCGCTCTTTTCCAATTCAGAGTTCAATTGCAAAAGGAATACGCCCTCAGCCAGTCTCTGAGCCACTTTATTAGCTTCACTTTCACCTGCTGGGATTCCCACAGATGTGTCAATTGTCGTACATATATGTTCGAAATCAACAGAGAATTGGTTGGCGCCGGCAGCTGAGAAGGTATTCCGTAAAAGGATATTATCCCAAAGATACGTCTGAACCGAGAGTACAAATTGTCGCACTATTCGCCTTAGGGGTGCTGGAGCAAGGGCTCGTGACAAGAATTTGAACTCTGTAGTAAGGCTCCGAGTAAACGCTGCTAGGTCCGCAGACGGGGTGATGACGGATCCGCCAGTATCGGTAAGCGACGTTAGCGAAGCCCAGACAGAAGCACGGGAATATTGTTTGAGCGACGTTTGCATAGTTGAGGTCAAAGCTGACACAATAATCGACTCAGACCGGATTCGAATGCGACGATATGCCGAGGAAGTTTCATCAAACAGTGCGCCCTCATTGCCTTCGGTGCTGTGGCCATCGGTATTATATGTTACGGTGGACGATGTGCGTGCTGCGACCTCTGAAACGGACATGGCACCGGCAACTGGCCTGCCAGTTTGAGCATTTTGGTTAACGCGATCCTGCAATTCGTACCAAAGTTCTAAGAAGAAAACGTCATCGCCCCAGTCCTGCATTTTCTTTTCCAGGTACTCTGCACTTCCAAATATCCTGCACAGCCTTTCTAAACCCGCGATTCCTTCTAGATTTGGCTGATTAGTAGAAGAATGGACAGTCCGACCGATTGTTGAGGTCATCGCAAGATAGGCCTCCAGCCCAGAATGCAGTCTTTCATGGAAAAGATCAAATATCGTAATTTGGATGTCAATGAGAAAGCGAAGTTTATGGCTAAAGGAAGATAGCGGCCGGTACCTATCTGTGATTGTTTCAAGCAAGTCGTTAACCCGGATAGCTGCCTTTGTTGGCTTCGTGGCTGTGGCTTCGACGCCGTCATACTCGATCTCACCACTGTCTGTCGCGTCAATGATATCCTGGTAGCGGGAGAGCGCAAATTCTTTCTCAACTTGGAGCCACTGAGCGAACCAATCCTCTTTGACGAGTGTTTCCCATGTCAACCCTTTCCAAGCACGATCATGGCTAAATTCCGGTGTATAGCCCCAAGTGTCTCGAATATCACTGTCAAATTGCATCAATTCGTGAATGAAATGGCTTAATAATTGAGGGTGATTGGCAATGTGCGGAAGAGTTGCGCTGATTTTCTGCCGTGCCATAGGTAACAATGCCGTTATGTAAGAGAATACAGCATTTGAGTAAACTGGCAGAAGCAGCCTGTCGCAGTTTAGAGACCGTTTATCAAAGATAGGTTGAAGATATGACATGAAGAAGCCGCTATATGTATTAACCAAGTCAATTATATGCGATAGGAAATACTCGGGCTAAACGGTCCTTGTCAGTCGTATCCTTGAGTATTGAGTCGAAAAATACCCGCTCACCTTGTCTAATCGGTTGGTCGGCTTCTCGCCACTAAAATGATATTTGAATCTAAGATCCAGAGGGTGCACCATTTCCTCTAATGGTAACAGAACTGGGATATTGCGATGTTCCTTTTCACCTTGAAGCAGTGCGGCCTGGGAGACAATGTCCCTGCATCTCGGCAATTAGTATTTGCGATTCGACGTTCAAAAAAAAATAAAGATAAAAAACGATGATACTCACGGTTCATGTAACTGTAGCAGTAGCTCGGTCCACTTTTGCCATTCATCGATCAAAGGGCTGTCAGTCTTAAGGTCCCGTGAAGGCCAGTTCATTCTCTCAAGGACAGTTTGCAGGTTTTTAGAATATTCTTTCCGAAGAGCGCCTTTCAGGTTGTCTGCTAGCTTCATAGCATAGTCAACAAGGTGGGGAGCAGCACCCTCTGCCGCCATTTGCATGGATTCCAATGCCGAAGTAATAGCTCTTAATTCAATGTAGAACCGTAGCGCCTCGCCTGGCGAAGACTGCAAGATCGATAGAGCATCTTTACTACTCGGATATAAGTACACGAGACGACAAACAGAGGCAGAGCACCAACCTAATACCGTGTATCTTATCCAGAAGCTCCAGATATCCCTTTGCCATTTCTAACCTCCAAAGTTTCTCCATACCACCTTCAAATTTCCGTGTAGCTTCATCACTACTTTTTGACCCGGTCACCTCTATGAGCCGTTTATCTATGTCCTCCTGCTTCTGTTTAAATGCTTCGCCCCGTTCCCGAACCGCCTCTGCGTGTTGGGCTGAAACTTTTGTCGCGTCGTTTAACGTCGCCTCGGCTTCGCGTAACTAAATTGAATAGAAGATTAGCAAAGTGGGATTGCACTCAGCTGAGCCAACTGAAATTACCTGCTGCTGACGGAGCTTCTGCTTCTCATAAATATCGTTAATCAGGGCATCCAGATCTTGTAAGTCAGCTGCTGTTTGAATATTTTCATTAATGTGATCCGCGATGCGCGGCCCATCTGCGGCGCCACGCGCCATTGTGGAAGGTTGAAATTGACTTATTCAAGGAGAACTGGGCTGGTAGCAGGGCGGCATTTCAATCTTTAAGACCGCCCAGCCATGCGCCTTCTAGCGCTCTTGTTGTTCACTTCAGTTGTGGTTTCATTCCTTCCAACTGGTGAAGCATGACGTGGAGAGTCCAGAACTTCACAAACGCTTGGCACTTCCATCCTCGCTCAACCTGAGACTCTTCAACCGGCGAGCGTTGAGGTCAAAGATGCAGACATGCCCAATCCCGCCAGCAAACGTAAAAGGGATGATGCTAGTGACTCGAAGTCGTTCAGGAGTATCGACTCCTTTTTCAGAAGCCCGAAAAAGCGGCAACCGCAGGTCGATATCTGCACTCCAGCTCCTCCAGGAAACCAAGCTCTGACGGACGAGGAGCTCGCCCGAAAGCTGCAAGCAGAATGGGATAGAGATGCTGCGCCTAGCCGAGATGGGCCACATACAGAAGCGAACACACAAGCGGCTCTGCTGCCTCAGAGCGTCGAGCGCAAAGGCGATCTTCAAATAGCCGATTCACCGCCCAAAACCTCGGGAGTTGTTCCTGAAAAGAAAACAAAAGGCGTGCTGTCGCTACAGACTTCCGCGACCACGGAAGACACGATATCTATGTCCTTGCCCTTAGACCAGCCACCGCTGAGCTTTAAGCCGTCTACCTACATCGAACAGCTGAGAGAATTCTGGGGGTTGGAGGGAGGACGCGCTTCTTACTCAATATTGGCGAGAGCGTTTTCCCTAGTCAACAGCACACAAAGTCGAATCAAAATCGTGGATATACTAGTCAACCTACTGAGGATCTTGATTGAAGGAAACCCAGACAGTCTCCTTCCTGCCGTCTGGCTTGCTACAAACGCTTTCGCGCCCCCGTACGTTCCCTTGGAGTTGGGACTGGGAGGATCTGCTATCTCCAAAGCTTTGAAGAAGGCGTATGGGCTGGATAACTTGGGCTTAAAATCCCTTTATGACAAGCATGGAGACGCTGGTGATGTCGCCTATGAAGCTAAAAAGAAACAGTCTTTTACTTTAAGGCGACCGAAGCCGCTCTCTATTAAAGGAGTTTATGACTCACTGACAGGGATTGCTAATAGTAAAGGAACGGGCAGCCAAGAAAATAAACAGAGGATAGTTGAACAACTGCTTCGAGATGCCAGAGGAGCCGAAGAAAGTCGGTATATCGTCCGAACGCTCGTCCAGCACCTACGTATCGGAGCAGTCAGAACTACCATGCTCATCGCCTTAGCTCGTGCATTTCTTTATTCAAGGCCACCATCTGCTACCTTTGAGGTGTATTTGCAACCCGACCTTATGAACCTAAAAAAGGATGAGCTATCCAATTTATATGCCAGGGCAGAGGAGATAGTCAAAGCCAGCTACGCTCGCCATCCAAACTACAATGACCTCATACCATGCCTTCTAGAAACAGGCATCTCGAAGGCCGTTCTCGCCAAATGCGGTCTATCGCTTCATATTCCGTTGTTGCCAATGCTAGGGAGTATTACGCGCGACCTGACAGAGATGCTTACTAAACTGCAGGGCAAGAAATTCAGTTGCGAATATAAATATGACGGCCAACGTGCACAAGTACATTGTGACACGGCAGGAAAAGTATCACTTTTCTCGCGCCATCTGGAGTTTATGACAGATAAATACCCGGACTTAGTATCTCTTGTCCCGCAGATTAGGGGAGACGGTGTGTCGAGCTTCATTCTTGAGGGAGAAGTGGTCGCTGTTGACCAAGAATCCGGAGATTTATTGCCCTTTCAGACACTTTCCAACAGAGCGAAGAAAAATGTTGAAATGAGTAATATCAAAATCAATGTTTGCCTGTTTGCATTCGATCTAATGTACCTGAATGGCGAGCCATTGCTAGAGCGATCTTTCAGAGAACGACGCGAGCTGTTGCGAAGCCTCTTTGTCGAGATACCTAAACGATTTTCTTGGGTCAAAAGCATCGACGCAACCTCTACCGATTCAGATATGATACTTAACTTCTTCCGGGAGGCCACCAAAGAAAAATGTGAAGGTATTATGGTGAAGGTATTGGATACCGATGTCGAAGCTGTGGAAACTGTTGGGCTGGGCTCGGCCATCAAAGAATCATCCAATATAGCTAAAGAAAAGCAAAAGGGAACAAGGAAGCGAGCCTTGTTGTCTACTTACGAGCCCGATAAACGACTCGAGTCATGGCTGAAGGTGAAGAAAGATTATAGCACAGCCTCTGATACTCTGGACTTGATTCCCATCGCTGGTTGGCATGGTCAAGGTCGAAAGGCTAAATGGTGGTCCCCAATTCTCCTTGCTGTGCGAAATCCGGAAACCGGGTCGTTAGAGGCAGTCACCAAATGCATGTCCGGTTTTACGGATAAGTTCTACCAGGAGAATAAAGAGAAGTATGCTGAACACGGCGACAATGTGATTTCACGTCCAAGCTATGTGGATTATAGGAACGAACCTGAGGTCTGGTTTGAGCCTCAGGAGGTTTGGGAGGTCGCTTTTGCAGACATTACGCTCAGTCCGACGTACACAGCAGCAATCGGTTTGGTCAGCGAGGAGCGCGGATTGAGTCTTCGGTTCCCAAGGTTTCTTAGGGTCCGTGAAGATAAGACTATCGAGGAGGCAAGCACATCTGCATATCTGGCTGAGCTTTGGAGGAAACAAAGTGCGCGCTTACAAATCGAAGGCGTCGATTCGATGCAAGAGGAACCTTGACAACGTGTGATTGTCATCAAATCTATTTTCCACATTAGCAACGCACCATTATATCTGGCCAGTTATATTTCCGGATCGTCCGGGCAGGAATACTTGACGAGGTTAAGGCAAGGGATGGGGTCCGCTCCAGTGCAGAAATTTACGTCATAACTCAATTGAGTTCAGCTCGCTCGTTCCCATGTCTTCAGCTACCTGGGGGCTGTCGAAGTATTAGGCTATCTACGGAGTATCCTACGGGCTCTTACCAAAGGACGTGGCTACAGCAGATGCAGAACCACTTCCAGAACGTTCCGTGACGACACCATTTCCTGCTCCCCGCACTTCCCGTATATAATGGAGGATGTCACCAAAGCCAGTGGCAAGCACACTATACATTCAACAGCAAACTAACTATTGAGCAAAGTGGTTTCATAACAACTTATCCGTTATTCCAAAATGCCGCTTCCCCGAAGAGCTTTACTGGCTGTAACCAGTGCACACCCGCCATTTTGGCCGGACGGGAAGAAGACCGGGCTCTTCTTCTCCGAAGCCTTACATCCCTATAATGAGTTAACGGCGGCGGGTTTCGAAGTTGACGTTGCCTCCGAAACGGGGACCTTTGCATGGGACGAACACTCTCTTACCCCATCGTTCCTCTCCAAAGAAGATGAAAAGGTTTATAACTCCGAGCAGAGTCCCTTCATGCAGAAGATGAACAAGCAGGTGTTCAAGGCTGATGACTTAACACCACACGACTATGGACTTGTATTCGTGTGTGGAGGGCACGGAGCATTGTACGACTTTCCGCATGCCAAACATATCCAGCACATCGCACAGGACGTTTATAAGCGCGGCGGAGTTATTGGAGCGGTTTGTCACGGGCCGGTTATGCTGCCAGGAATCTTGGACGAGAACGGAGATTCGATCATTAAGGATAAAACCGTCACTGGATTCACGACAAACGGCGAACTCATGTTGAAAGTCATCGACCAGATGCGGAACGATAAATTGCATACAGTCGCTGAATTAGCCACCAACGCTCACGCCGAGTATGTCGAACCAGGAGACCCTTTCGATAACTTTTGCAAAGTCGATGGAAGAGTGGTTACGGGAGCGAACCCCCAGAGTGCAACACACACGGCGCTAGACACTATTAAAGTGTTTGAAGGAATTGCGAAGGAATAAATTCTAGGAGGATTACATGACCAAAACAACACTGTCATTTCGAACGCTTTTTATCTGGTCCTACTGCTTTATATTTCGACGGCAAAGATAAACGATCCTACGAAAAAGAAGAAGAAGAAAAGATATACAATAGCTGAAGCTATATTTCACTCCTTTGATGGGAAATTATTTTCGACAAGGCACCATTTGTGTACATATCGTAATTGAATTGCGATGGTTGTCATCCACTATTTTCACCTTTTCATTGACACGATGATACAATTGGGCTCCAAAATTCCTGTGCTAATAGCCGTGACTACTGGGCAATCATCCCCTGTTTTGTCCTTCCGCTGAATGTTGAACCTAATAGTTTATTATCAATGAACACACTGAATACGACCCTTTGAGCCTATTCTGTGTTGCAGCTTTTTGCTTGATGGACGTCATTGATCAAGCTCAATTTACATCACGTGAAAGCGTGTTCTTTTCGTTCGCCGTGCAAGACGCGTTCTTTGTTGCCCGTCGCGACCACCCCTTGGCATCAAGGAGGTCCCGAGTCTTCCCATTTGACTGAATGCAAGATGCATTACGTGCTTTGGGATTGCCTGATGCCTCCTTGAATATATGCTCAAGGATGATTTCGCGAATATGGACGCTTCTTGAGAGCTAATCGGCGGAGTCGTCAAGTGTCTTGACAATTGCACAATATCAGAAACAACGACGAAATTGCTGATATAGGACGGCCATGACTACAAATATGGGACAGTGAGGATTGTGGTTCAATGGTATCTTCTTTAAAGTCAAAAAAAGAGCATGCCTCCACATGAAGCTCCGATGCTCCGCTGGTTCCATCGTCCGAGCTAAGCATAAAACTCCCAGTCTTCGGGGAACCAACTGTACTGCACATCAGAAAGATCTTTGAAGATATCATCATAAGCAGGTATGGCAGTTTCTGGCCTTTCACCCTGCCGATGATAATCTCGCTGGATTTCCCTCATCTTCGGATCACTCCACATCTGCTTCATCCACGCAAGCGCCTCCGGCGTGGCAGAAACGAGGGGAAGCCCATACGAGCGGAATCGCTAACAACACGTCAGCAAAAAACTCAAAACTCGAAAAGAAGAGAAAGAAAACAAAATATCAACCCACCCACAGCACCGGCCAAAAGAACGAATCCACAATCCCAAACTCCCCACACAAAAACCCCCCATCCTCCCCGCCCAGCTCCCCCAACCTCCTCGCCGTCTCCCTCCTCAACTCCCCCCACAATGCAAGCACCCGCTCCACCTCTACCCGCGCCTCCGCGCTCAGCGGCACGTTCCCCGTGTACCGCCCCAGGAAGTTGGTGTGGTAGGTGGTCTGCAGCGCGCGGCACAGGCCGGAGTGCATGCGGGCCACGGCGCTGCGGGCGAGGGCGCGCAGGGCGCGGTCGCGGGGCCAGAGGGGTAGGTCCGGGTGGGATTCGGCGAGGAACTCGAGGATGGCGAGGGAGTCGGTGATTTGGATGGGGTTGTCGGGGAGGGGGACGGAGAGGGCGGGGACGAGGCGGGAGTGGGAGAGGGATGTGGACTATTTTTGGTTAGATTTTTCTCTTGGAGGAGGGGGGGGAGGGCGAGGATAGGTACCTGTTCGAGGGATGAGATCATGGGTTTGTAGGGGATGGCGTAGTAGTCCATCAGGGTGGTGACGCGGACTGTCCAGCCTGGATGTCGACAGAAAAGTAAATCAGCTGTTTGTCTCGATTTGGGTAAGATAGTAGCTATGATGGGTCGTGATTTGAACTCACTCGAGTACCGAGTCCAAGCACCGATGACGGTGT